CATTTTTTATCTCCATTGTTGACTGGTAGATAAAAATGTTTCTCTCAAGGCCAGCACTGACCCTGTGTTGCTATGAAGGTGTTTTTAAAAATGTTGATATCAATGTTTACGCAAAGGTTTACTCTCATGACAAATGGACCAGTCATATATATATTTTTTAATTGTTTTCGCGAGTTTTTTTATTATCGTGATAAGCGAGGTGGTTTTTAACGCGTAAGTGCGTGCGCGCGTGTGTGTGTGTGAGTGTGTGTGTGTGTGTGAGACGCATGACCAAGTCCTGTCATGGGTAAAAATCTATATAGGTGGACACACACACACACACACACACACACACACACACACACACACACACACACACACACACACACACGTGCCTGGTTCTGAGTCCCGAGATGTAATTACACATCTACCCCCTCCTCCTACCCCTCCTCTCTCACCCTTCTCCCCCCTTTCCCACCCACGACACATAGCTAGAGAGGATACCGTGTACATGACCTGTGTCTTCACGTACACAGGTCATGTACACACAGCCCCCAGGTTTATGTGTAGCGAACTGTGGATAATTAGAAGTGGATTAATCTCTTTTTCCGTCTCTCTATTTGTTTGTCTCTATCTCTTTCTCTGTATCTCACACCCCATCTATTTCACTCTACTCTAACAAACTGTGTCATATACTTCATCAATCTCTCTCTCTCTCTCTCTCTCTCTCTCTCTCTCTCTCTCTCTCTGTCTATCTCTCACGCTATCTGTCTCTCAGTGCCTGTCCTACTACGGGTAAATGATCAGTGACGGCATAAAACAATCTAGGTCAGTTTGTGGTGAACTCGTCAATACGTTTTCTATCATCGGCGGAAGGTTGCCGTCAATTTGTATATTATTACTTTCTTGTTTATAAACTTATGCAGTCGCTTTAAACTATTACTATTATATTAGTATTTATTTCAGTCATAAAGCTAGGGTGATATATTTATATGAGAGAGAGAGAGAGAGAGAGAGAGAGATTTAATTGTAAAGTTAACCTAACAAAATTGAGAAAAATACACTTAAACTAGCTTGATATACCCTCGTGTGTTGTATGGGGGAGAGTTTAAGGAGGGGGAGAGGGTATGAGGGACACGGGGTGGGTACTGGGTATAGTATTGGTGACAGGGAGTATCACGTTACTGGTGTGTGACCTCCACAAAGACTTATGTTATGCCTCCACACGCGCCTCTCACACACACTGTTACCTTACCTCTCTCTCTCTCTCTCTCTCTCTCTCTGGTCCTAACTAAAACAAAATCCCTGACCAGAGTGAAAGAGTAGAGCCAGTATTGAGAGGTGACGTAACAATACACCTTCACTACTACACGTGGGTTGAAACACGGGGAGGCCAGCAGTGAGGAGACCAGAGGACACTACATAAACTGACTCACAATTTTACTCTGTAGTCCAGAAATAGAAACCATGAGATAGGCTTCCATCTACCCCTACAGCTTCCGGGCATTTCAAAGGCTTCACCAACCCTAGTTTAATACGGTTACAGGTGTGTGTGTGTGTGTGTGTGTGTGTGTGTGTGTGTGTGTGTGTGTGTGTGACTTATAACATCAACGACACTGCAATTACAAAAACATCAACACAACATGGCGGGAATACTTATTGATGAAAATATACTCACGCCTATAGGACCCACCTCGCCTTGTGTGCCAGGTGAGCCAACATGCTGCCAATAGGATCTCCAGTAGGATAATGTCACGACCATAGACCAGACACTCGATAGCCAACCCATCCTAGTCTCTGTGGTGGTGGACGGCGTGTGGTGTGGTGTAGCTGAAGCCAAACTCGCTATCATAACCATTCATGTTATATTAAATTGATGATATTTTCAACTTACAAACAGATAGTGAGAGAAACTAAAATTATATTAAGATTAAATTATTTGAGAATGTGTAGGAGCCTCAATACACACCTGAGGCTCTATAAACCTGAGGATCAACACACCTGACTCAATACACACCTGAGGCTCTATAAACCTGAGGATCAACACACCTGACTCAATACACACCTGAGGCTCTATAAACCTGAGGATCAACACACCTGACTCAATACACACCTGAGGCTCTATAAACCTGAGGATCAACACACCTGACTCAATACACACCTGAGGCTCTGACTCTATTTAACAAAACAATATATTCCTTTCTATAAAAAAAGCTAAATAATAAATAAATAAATAAATAAATAAATAAATAAATAAATAAAATAATTAAATCATACAGAAATAAAACCCACATTAAGAGCCTTGACAATGGCGGCGCCCTGTTTGTAAGTGAAGGTGAGGTCTGTTGGTCGGTCTGTTGGTCGGTCGGTCGGTCGGTTAGAGACAGTGGTGGTGCTCCTCGACCCCCCCCCCCCACCCTCCAGCACCACCAACCAAGGTTTCATTAGCAAAGAATTTATCCTGGAGCCGCAAGTGTTAATTATGGTTCATTATATCACTAATGAGTGCTAAATACCTGCTGGGGATCACCTTACTCTGAGGGAGGCGGTGATGGGGGGTCTTCCTGGGGTATATCTCTCTCTTGTAGTCCCAGGAGGCTTCGTTCCCGCCCGCCCGCCCGCCCGCCCGCCCAGTCCCAAGTCTCACAGGCCCTTACTGTGAATAATTCCCGTAAGTAATGACCTGGTGATGTACTTAACTATACTTCACTTAAACAGAGAGAGAGAGAGAGAGAGAGAGAGAGAGAGAGACTGACCCGCGTTTTACTACCAATCTATAGTTTCATGAATTGAATTGAAAACAGTTAATTTAGCGAGAAAAACACAGATACAGAGTGGATAATAATAACAATATTAACATGGCTGAGCCAGTTGAGTACCTGAGCTCTCTTTTAGGCACCTGATATATACTATACATTTATCTCAAGGAAGTATTATGTAACATTTAGTAACATCTCATAATGTTACCACGGTTGCGTCTATGACAACCTTTATCATGGCACTCGTACACGCATTCCTAAATGTTGACAGATGTGAATACAAGTGATTAAACATTCTATTGTCAACACTGATAAGTTGCATAGATTAATATATATTTTACTCTGTGGTGGCGCCTGTGTGTGTCACGTCAGGTAACAAAGTGAAACCTCCATCTAATTAACTATATAGAAATGAAAGTCCGTTATATCGAGGATCCATTATATATAAAAGATTCCCCTATACTCTCTCCAAACAGCCGCTAAATGAACCTATCTAGTTAACAAGGACAGGTGTATAAGTAATATTAGTGGCATGTAATGTATCAGATGGTACAGCGTGTTACCTAGAGCCAACCAGGTGGATAATTATGATTTACCTGGCCAGAGGATAATGATGGTGGTGTTGATTAAGAATGACTTCCTCCTCCATCTCTACCTCCTCTACCTCTACCTCCTCTACCCCTTCCTCCTCTACCCCTTCCTCCTCTACCTCTACCTCCTCTACCCCTTCCTCCTCCATCTCTACCTCCTCTAACGACCTCTCCTCCTACCTCCAACCCTCTACCTCCCTCCATACACCTAGAACACCCCCACCTCTTCTACCTTCCCCCCTTCCTCTCCAACCACCCCCATCTCCCCCCCCCTCATGGGTATTAAGGAAAACAGACACCCCCCCCCCTGTGTTACACCCCGGGGCACAAGTTTCCCGCGGCTCTGTGTTTTATACCGCTTATGTAAATGAGTTTATATAGTTAGTGAAGATAATAAACACATTGTGACACATGGCGAGCATAGAGAGACACAAGGAGGAGGGGGAGGGGGGAGGGGGGAGGGAGAGAGGGAGAGGGCGGTAGAGGGGGAGGAGGGGAGAGTTACGCCAGCCGACCAACGAACGTGGAGAGTTAAGTCAGCCAACCAACGAACGTGGAGAGAATTACGTCAGCCAATCAACGAACGTACAGAGTTAAGCCAGCCAATCAACGAACGTGGAGAGTTAAGCCAGCCAATCAACGAACGTGGAGAGTTAAGCCAGCCAATCAACGGTAACTATGACAAAATAAAACCCTCGGGAAGTACCCACCTCGTTTACCTATACCGGCCGGCCCAACTAGAGGTGGCCAAGCAGAGGGATGGACACCAATGGCCATGATGGACACACTACACTACACTACACTACACTACACTACACTATACACTACACTACACTACACTCATATACACACTACACTCACACACTACTACTACACCACACTTACTATATAACATACACACACTACACTACACTACACTACACTATACTACACTACACTACACTACACTCATATACACACTACACTACACTATACTACAACACTTTATATAACATCACAACAATAACCTACATCAATTGGTTGTAAACACAATTACGTCACTATACCACGTGGGCCTAATGGATTATGACGTCACCTTCTGCTCGCTTTAGTAATTGTCTAAAGTACTGTATTTATATGTTTAAATTTATTACTGTAAGTTTTGTAGTGTTTTGTATGGTATAAAATATGATCCTTGTGTTGGCAGAAATATACGAGTTATTATTGTCATTATTATTGTTAGTATTATTATTATTGTTATTATTATTGTTATTAGTATTATTATTGTTGTTATTATTATTGTTATTAGTATTATTATTGTTGTTATTATTATTGTTATTAGTATTATTATTGTTGTTATTATTATTATTAGTATTATTATTATTATTATTGTTATTAGTATTATTATTATTGTTATTATTGTTATTAGTATTATTATTATTGTTATTATTATTGTTGTTATTATTATTGTTATTGGTATTATTATTGTTGTCATTATTATTAAAATTTGTCTTTGGTAGTGGAGTTTTAATAACAGTATCTAGGTTAGAGAGAGACTCAGATGATGACCGGGGGGAGGGAGGGAGGGAGGTGACCTGGCACTGTGGTGGAGGGAAGGGGGAGTGGGGGTTGTGGCACTCGTGTAGTATTTAGGCACCAAGTGTTGCCCCCCAGGGTCAGTGTGGCCCAGCTGACCCAACACTACACTGGCCTCGAGGAAGTAGCCAGGGAAAGTGATCTCTTATTCCTTGGACTTTCTTACACCCTCGAGAAAGTAGCCAGGGAAAGTGACCTCCTATCCTTCGGCTTCTCCTACACCCACAGGGAAAGAACCCAGGGGAAAGTGACTCCTGCTCCCCCGGCCAGAGGAAGTTACTTCAGAAAGTGCCTTGGAAAGTGAGTTCGACCGTTGGTATGATGGACTGTTGGGAAGTGCCTTAAGAAAGCGAGTCAGAAAGTGTGGGCAGAAAGTGAAGTAAGTACCTGGGAGTGAAGTATGGGAAAGTGCCTTAAAAAGTATTAAGAGAACTGAGAAAGTGTCAGTCGTTCAAAGTGTTGGATAGTAGTTAAGTGGATGAGAGGAGTGACGGATGTGGATGAGAGGGGTGACGGATGTGGATGAGAGGGGTGACGGATGTGGCTGAGAGGGGTGACGGATGTGGCTGAGAGGGGTGACGGATGTGGCTGAGAGGGGTGACGGATGTGGGTGAGAGGGATGACGGATGATGGAGGGATGCTGGATGTGGGTGAGAGGATGACGGATGTGGATGAGAGGATGACGGATGTGGCTGAGAGTGGGTGACGGATGTGGATGAGAGGGATGCGGATGTGGGTGAGAGGGATGACGGATGTGGATGAGAGGGTGACGGATGTGGATGAGAGGGGTGACGGATGTGGGTGAGAGGGGTGACGGATGTGGATGAGAGGGGTGACGAATGTGGATGAGAGGGGTGACGGATGTGGCTGAGAGTGGGTGATGATGAGTGTGGGTGAGTGTGTAGGGACAGCGGTGTATCTGTACCGAAAGGAACTATCCGTTATCGATGCTGGCTCTCTCTCTCTCTCTCTCTCTCTCTCTCTCTCTCCCTCTAATATCTACGTCGTTTACTCCTGTGTATGTGTGTGTGTGTGTGTGTGTGTGTGTGTGTTTACAGTTAGAGTCAGAGGGATATTTTAACGCCATTGTGGCCGCCTTATTTATCTCGTTGCCATGGTGATCCGACGTAGATGCTCACTTGTTTTTTTATCTCATAAGGTAAACAATAAGTCTGAGTAACTGAGGTGCCGTGGCTAAGGTACAGTTACTTATAGACCTTCTTATATAACGAGTAAAAGGATTATATTGTGTTCAAACTTGTTGGGGGAGAATCCATCTTTGTGTCGTAATTGAAGTGAAACAGCAACATGGATTCATACGTCTCTATATACAGTGAAACCTCTATTTAACGGACAATATGGAGGGGAAAGTCTGTTATATCGAGGGTGGTCCGTTAGATGTAAAACTTTCATCTAACGAACTACTGTTTATAGAAATGAACGTTCGTTATATAGAGGATGGTTCGTTACATGTGAATACTCTCATCTGTTATAAGGTGACTTCAATGGTATGGGAAAATTTTTAACGTGTGGGGGGAGGGGGGGGGGGTCCTGAGAGTGGAGAGTAAGCTACCACACCAGAGTGAGGGGAGCTGCGCGCGCATCACCAGGCTTGGGTCACCAGATAAACAATGTGTACTGAACTGTCTCAACGTGTCAATCAATCGCTTTAGAATACCAAAAAAAAATATCGAAATATCCCCATAATTTCACATTTCTCTTTTTTAATCTACCGGCATTAAATAAACTCACAATGTTAATAATAAGAGTGAAGTTTAGTTAGGTAAATATGAACGTGAGGAGTGTGACGTGAAGGTGTGGCCAGTGGGGAGGGTTCCAGAGATGTGTTTCATTCACTAGGCTATCCTGTGAATGAGTGTGACGTGGTTCAGTAGCCCTCTGGTCCTGGTGCAAACTGGATTTGGCTTCCTGGTCCATCCCTCTATATTGTCTGGCCACGTCTAACCACTCACCAAGTGTAATATTGTACGTATGATAAACAAACCTAACCTAACCATGTCCATATGTGTAATTCAGTGCCATACATATATACGACAAGAGATAACTACGTATAACTCATACCGGTGTTTATGTATACTAATTAGTAATATACATATGAATTATTAAACGACACTTTAAGTTCGTCTTGTATACTAGTGGAATTATGTAAGTAAGTTTTCATGTACGTAACAGTCCTTATGTAAGTAACAGAGTCCTGACGTAACTACTCGGGGCTGTCTTTCGGGTTCAGCTCCGTCAGAACCTCTGGGTATTAGGTCCTACTGTAGAGTCTCCATCTGTTATTTAAGACGGCCAGTTTATGTACCGGCGGGGGGCAGGAGTTAGGCTAGGTTAGGTTAGATTAGCATTAATTTGGTTAATATTAAGTTGAAATAAACTGAGGCGGTTAATCTTCAAGTTATCCGAAAAAGTTGATAACTGTCTATCATGATATTTGTCATGCCCTGCAATTGATGATCATATACTGTGAAAATTTATTGTTATTGATCTCTCTCTCTCTCTCTCACAGTACACTTACACCATAATTTGTCTTCTTGCAGAGTGTGACGTTGGACAAGGCACGTGAGGTCCCCAGCACCATCATGAATCACTCACTCCGTCGTCTATGAGTGGCCCTGGCCCTCTTCCCTGGACGACTATGAATCATTTCTGAGATCTTCTTGCATCATTATGTACTGTGTATAAGGTCTGTTGCACCGTGAAGCACCGCATTCGAGGCTGTGTTGTGCTCCAGCTTGTTGTAGGATTAACTCTGCATTTCCTATTCAACAAAGAGGGGACAACTGCATCGTGTGAATCATGTAAGGGATCCTAGTGTTTACCATTATAGGGGTGTCCCTGGACCTCAGTGAGTGACCCCCGTAATTCCTCGACCCTATACGAATACCCTCAGAAGAGACCCACCGAGCACCCGGCAGGAGCGCCGGCTTTCTGTACCCTCCACCGAGCTCGACGAAGCACACGTGAAGCTTCTCCCTCAGCTGGACCTAACCCATCCAATATATTACATCAGCGTTACCGTCCTAGAGCTTGTCACTATCCAGCCTCGTAGTTCACGCCACAACACCGACCAGACGACAACATGAACCAAGTGACTCCGAGTGTGACAACAACCTCTTAGGATTCTGATTTCCTCTATACTATACCTCTTGGGATCCTCGTCTTTCTCCAAGGATCCCTCCCCCCTCCGGCCCCAACGGCTGGCTTTTGTAGGATCTCCACAATCTTCTAAGAGTCCCACGAACGTCTGGGACCTCCTATGATCTCCACGACATCAAGGACCTCCAAAGGACCCCATGATGGATGCTCTGTTGCCCCAACTGGAAGAGTCGTGGGTGAGACAGACGGTGGGTGGTGGTGACGGTGGCAGTGAGACGGACTCTGGGTATGACCCCCTCTCCCCCCTCCACCTAGGTGACCTGCCGCCCACGCCTCCGCCTCCATCACGCCCACAGTACTCACCTGGTTCACCCCACGATCTGATTCACCATGCCTCCTCCCCCACCTGTGACCTGCCTACCTCTGGTGAGTGTGTGTGTGTGTGTGTGTGTGTGTGTGTGTGTGTGTGTGTGTGTGTGTGTGTGTGTGTGTGTGAGAGAGAAATAAACAGATTAAGAGAAAGGTAGATAATTTGACAGAGACAGAGAGAATTAGAGACAAGGGCACAGATAAGAAAGAAAATTAGTGGAGAGAGCTTGATAAACAGAAAGAACGCGAAAGATAGACAGATATAAACAAAGAAAACACGAAAGAGAGCCAAAAATAAAAACCTAGACGGGTAGAAAGAGACAGAGGGAGTGAGAACAAGAGAGATAAACAGAGTGAGAACAAAAGAGAGAAGAGAGAGATAGAGAGACAGGAGAACACATGCCCTTGTTATCTACGAGGATGAGTGGTACTGACATGTTGGCGAAGACTACCACATATTAGTCAATGTTGGTATAGGAGATACAAACCTAAAATACTAACCTAACCTAATATAAGAGCTTAAACCTAACCTAACCAAACCTAATATAAGAGCTTAAACCTAACCTAACCTAATCAAACCTAATATAAGAGCTTAAACCTAACCTAACCTTAACTTAAAGACCTTTGATATAGCGTACCATCATTTCCCGTCGCCAAGTTTCCCTGTCTGTGGTAATTAATTCTTTTCAAAGGTGTGGACCGATCTTCTTCAAAACTTAGCGGGAACATTGACCTTCCCAAGAGCTAAAACCATATTAATAATTAACACGATGTAATGATTATAATCGATAGACTTAAAGCAGATACATATTGCCAAACTTTTCCACTTAGGGGTTAAAAAATTCACGCGGGATCCTTGTTATTATTAAGTTAATTTTACAATGTATCTAATGACTTCTCTCAAAGAACTAATATCATACTGGAAGAGATTCAAGCCGTACCTATGAATGCGAAAACAGTAATAATGCTTTTAGAGGAGGAAGCAGATGAACAGACAGACAAAAGAAGCAATGTCATGCCTTTGGTGATATTCATATTAGTGACCCATCAACAGATATTTCCAGTCAGGGCCACCACAGTCCTCAAAACCAACCGGATGTTCTCCCTCACCCTCCCTTCCCCCACCACCCAACCCCGACCCCACCCGTGGTAGCTAGCCTAGTCGCCTCTAATCACACTATCAGGACTATTGCACTGCCTTAACGAATCTAACAACCAAACTCAAACATAAAAGACAGTTATCAATTACAACTTCAATGACGCTTGTAATTATATCGCCCTTAACGATAAAATGTCATTATTCTTGGGTGGTTATATAGTGATTTAACTAATGATGGGTGTGCTAGTTGGCGGCAATGATGCTCTAGTAGTGGGGGTCACACGTACAGTACAAATACATAAACAATACTTTTAATCATTCAAAGATGAGCAAGAATTGGTCATGGTCTGCTTTAAACTACATTCAATATAGTATTAATGTAAAATAAATAAAAAAATATATCAACTCGACCAAAGAAGAGATACACTGAACTCACTTGACACAGCCAGAAAATTATGACAAGGACTCAAGTAAGCGATCTGGGGCGCAGTTGGTTAGGCTACTACTACAGCTGCGTCACATCTCGGTCGGTCACTGACATTTTTCTACCCACTCATACATTAGCTGACAATTTTTAAAGTATCCCAAACAGCGTGGCCTGGGATACTTTTCATTATAGTACTGTACCCATCTGTCGAAATGTACACAATATGATCTTTATAAACTGTCTTCCTGGTATCAGTTTTAAATTATATTAGTGAATTGGGGACGTTGGAAGGTGTACTGTCCGATGGTACAATTTGTAATCGTGAAATTATGTGTTGAAATCATAAATTCGGTTGCAGAAAAAAACATGTTACGTGAATGGATCTATTAAGTCTGGGTGTTTGGGTAATATTTTTTTTTTGTGTTTCATTTTAAAATCAACAAGTTAAGTGCATTATTTTACATCATCAGTTATAAAGAATATTCACCGTATGAGCCTTAGTAGTTGAAGGGGGTACGTGGCAACACTGCGTCATACACCACCATACTGTACAGGCGTCCTCAGCATCACTCACTCCCGCGTACAGTATCAAGGCCTCAGAAATGTTTCATAAGCATTAGAATTTGTTGACCAGTGTCGATATTAAGACTTATAATGAACAATGCTTCAAGAACCCTGGCCACTGACGTATAAACATTGAACAAAAACAATACAGGTATACCCCCAGAAAAAATAAGTGATATTGTTTGGGCTATACTAGGCTAGGCTGGGCTGGGTGAGGTTAGGTGGTGCTCCTCTAACAAGCAGCTAGAACAAGTAGGTTTAGGCGTGGTAATCGGCGCCTGGTGTCACTGTTTGTCACGGTACACCTGACGTTGGCCATTTGGCGCCGCACGTAACCCAACCCTGAAAGTGACACTCTTAGCGAACCAACACACGCCACAGTGTCATAACCCAGGGTGCTATTAGTTCCCTCTGTAATGCGTCATACATCTTGTATTGTCCTGTTGTTAATGGACATGATCGTTTATTACTTACTACATTAACAGTTCAAAAAATAAGTTGGGAAATTATATAAAGGATTCCGTTTAATTTGATTTTATCTATTTGTTTCATTATATTAAGGACAATAAAAAATGATAAAAAACATGACATGAGGTTCACCAACCCTAGCGCTATTGCTTTTAACGGCTCCCTTGGTCTAACCTGGGTTGAACCGACTGTATGTTTGTATACCTACACTATTATACATGCTGAAGTAAAGTGAACTTATATAACGATTTCACATCTATAATTAACTCATACCATATTATTAACACCAATTGCCTCATATTGCTTCATACCAGTTTTTTATTCATCTTGACCGTTTCCTCGGTTTATTTTGACCGAGTCAAGAAGAGTCGTTCGTTAGTGTAGTGGTGCTGTTATCATGTGTTTCCTGTCTCTGTTTCCTGTGTGTGAATGTCAGTACAGCGCGAGGTACTGGGCCAACCTCACGCTTGAATCTGTGTAAGAATTTATATGGTATATTTCATTCCTCTTACTGCCCACGTGATTTAAAACAAAGCTTAAGTTTCAATAAAGTGACCCCCAATCGTATGAAAATGATTGACAAATTAAATCTGACTGTAAATTGTTGAAACATGAACGCCAGCACGATGCTGGTCAACACAAATAAATTAAAAACGTCGACGATGACAAGTGATATAATGTAGTTATAAATCAGGAAAATGTGCAATAGGTGTGAGAAGTATACAGTATTAAGACACGGTAACCAGAAGCATGGGAGTAGCTCAGGGTGGTATTAAGGCCATGGCACAAAGAGTTAGCGGATGCAATAATTACAGTTCTCGTAGTGTTCCGACGCGGGAAATACCAAGCATGACAAAGGGAAAGGCAACTGTAAGTACTACCATAGACGCTGTGAGGTGACGTAGAATAATAATCAGGAATAAAAATAGCGAGGCCAAGTACCCCAGTGACATGGACGAAGTGCAGGCATAAAGGCAGGTATGGGTCGATTAAGTTTCAAACTTAACTAGTTGTTAATTTTCATTTTTTCGAGTTAAGTTAACCTGATTTTTTTAACATTAATTAATTAAGATTTTTTCGATTAAGTTAAGTTAACCTAACCAGTCTGTGTCAAATTTGCTTAGGGGAATTTTCATGTGGATTAAATAACTTAATATCCGGTAAATGTTTTCCAGAAAAGTCAATGAATACTGTAGTCTGAATACGTGAACAGTGAGGTAGTCTGGCACACTACTTCCTTGGTAGTCTTTAAGATAAAATAATTAAAAATTCTAGATTTTTTTTATTTTTTACTCAACAGTTTTTCACACGTAAATAATTTTATTATTTCGGTATGCAAAACCAAGTTAGACTTTCTTACTTAATACAATTATATCATGATAAGATAAGAATTCTGCATATCAAATTATCCCTGAAAGTTTAAACTCAAACTTTTTCATCATATACTCATTACACTTTATAATGCTAAATATATTGGATACTCAATGGGCACAAGGGCTGGTGTGTTATATATTATTTGTTATTTTTTCCGAGGAGTTAATTGATAATCGAAGTTAATCAATTAATTTGCCAAAATTTCGATTAAGTTAAACTGTTATTTCAAAAGTTAACTAGTTAAGACAAGTTAATTAATTGTCCCATGCCTGCACAAAGGACAAGTGAATCAATATCTTGAGTAATGCGATCATGTTTGTGTGTATGTGTGTGTGTTTCAACACTTCCTGGGCATGGCGGACAGATGTCGCAAGGTTACGGCAATACTTCTTCATACACACTAACCATTCTTTTAGCGTAGTTTAAACTTTCCTTATTATGTGGCCTTACAGCACCAACTTTAATTACTCTGTAAACTTATAGTGTAACCTCATTCATAACGTATAAGGTGATCAATTACTAACAAGGGTAATGAATTTTAGAATAAAGAGAAAATGGTATACTAATTTCCTTTCAAATTTTCAGCATTATTCTTGAGAAATTGTGTTATCCAACCACCACTTGCAACTGAGTCGCGTGATGTCACTACTGCTTACTGGCCATTTGAATCATTAAATTGTTCAATGCACCACAGTGTAAATTTCCCTGCCCTCTGTGTAGCTCTGCAGGACACAGAAACAATACTCTTTAAAATTTGTTGTCAACTGTAGAAGCTTAGTGAATGGTGCTTATATTCCCTCGCCGCTGGACCACTCAAATATTACGCAACAAAAATAAGACTGAATTTAGCAGAAATTTGTGTACTGTATAAACTAAAATAAATACCAGTATTGTATATACAGTGTGAGGTGGGTAATAATCCCGATAGTTGAACCACCCAAACCTAAATCAACGTTATATATTCGACGAGTGTAGTTCGCCATTTTTTTTCTCGTAATCAACCAAATTATGAAAAAGTACAATTACCATCATTAATGAAAATATACATATTAGTGTTTATGAAATTTTCACTAATTTAAAACTGAAGAAGGCATATATGTTTTGTTGGTCAAGTAAGTATTCAAGCCATAGATTCTTTGAGGATATTTTTTGTTTAATTTGCCGCTTTCCATGATCACAAGTTATATACATTTTAAAGTTAAAACATGTACATTTACTTCAGGTATAAAGAGTATGTAAGCGTGTGGCAGCATTCAGTAAACTTCAGTTCTAACGTAGCTAGATAGTAGCCTACTCAACACTGATACACACGCCAACACAATCGATTTTTTTTTCACTTATTGTTTGGTATAACAATAAAATTAAGTTCATAAATATTACATGCCATTTTTGTTTTTGCTTTCAATGACAGCATACCGGAAAAGTTTTATACAGAAAAAGTATAAACTACACTATATTTAAAATTTCATAGGTGGTGTGTTGTTTATGAAAAGAAAGATAACTGTCTCGTCGCTCAGTAACTGTGGTTTGGGTATACTGTACAGTCGACCGCCCACAATTGAAGCTGAATAGAATTGTTAATCTCTTTATCTGAGAACTATTGTGATTTAACAATTGTTTCTCGTTATCAAGGACGACATGAAGGTTATGACGTTCATCCTTGACACCTGTACTGACGTTCGTGATCATTTGTATGTCCGTGGTATACGTTATCTCATAGAGTTGGGAATACAATAAATGTTCACATTCTTAAGATTTTAGTACATCAATAGAACTTCACCAGCGTTAGTTTAGTTACGTTAAATTGAGCTACTTTACGATAATTTTAGACTACATCGTTACAATACTTTACGTCGCGTTAATATACAGCATTAATTTTCAACAAGTCGGGTCACATTACGGGAGAATGTAGTAATTTACGCTATGGCACGGTCTCAGGTTACTTATGTTTACATCAGATGGGTTTATCTTTCTACTATAAGATCATATTATGAATATCACAGCTGATACCAGTGTTGGGATGCGATTAATCACACCAATTTCAGTCTTTCGTCATCTGTCTGTGGACTTTTTATATTTTGCTGGTCAGGGATGTTTTGGTTTACTAGTGGCGTTTAACGCAGTGAATGTGTGCGACGTGCTATTGACGTGTTCCTGTCCTTCCAGACGGCCTCGACCTGGAGTCTCTCGACCTCGCTGCCCTCGACAGTTTGGATTACTTGTTCCCTGAGCCGCCCACGCCACCCACACCGTCCACGCCCCTCCAAATGCCGCCCCTCATCGGTCCTCTGGTCTCCCCAAAGGATGAGAACCTTGGTCTGCTGGATGGTGTTTCTCTTCTACCAGGGCTGGACAGCCTCCCCTCCTTAATGGAGCCCGCGCCCTCCCACGCCCCTCTGAACGGCCCAGTGCACCCTCATGTCTCTGACTTTCCCTCTTGCGATGACTTCCAGGCTTTAAATGACTTCTCGAAGGCAACGACGCTGGTGAGGATGGGAGGATCGCCCAGCAACCCACCACCACTAGAACTGATGAGACATGGGAACGTCCTCTCACCTGGCAGCATGGACCTCTCCCTGGCCTCGGCCGACCTGCCCACGCTGGATGTGTCCCTCTCAGCCATGGATACCTGCCCACCTTTCAGCATCGACTTGCCGGCGGACATGACGTGGGCGGCGCCACGGGGGGAGGAGGTGGGAGGCGGGGGGCTATTCTCTCAACTGCTGGAAGACGAAGTAGAGGAGCCTCCCAGGGTGGTGAACGTCTACCTTACTGGCCACGACTACACCAACAAGATCGAGGGCGTTCATCGACCGCCGATTTCGCATTGTCCTCCCCCACGCCCAATGACCTCTCTGCTGGGTGGCCGTTTGGGGCCCCAGACCATTCATCTACAGCCGAGAGAGCCTCCCCCGCCCCGCCCAGACCCACCCCGAGACGATGAACGGGTGTTCCAGTGCACGTACGCGGGGTGCGGCAAGGTGTACGCCAAGTCTTCACACCTGAAGGCCCACCTGAGGCGCCACACGGGGGAAAAGCCCTTCGTGTGTACGTGGCCAGGATGCTCTTGGAGGTTCTCACGTTCAGATGAGTTGGCAAGGCACCGGCGCTCACACTCGGGCGTCAAGCCTTACCGCTGCCATGTATGTGACAAGAGGTTCTCCCGCTCTGATCACCTGGCCAAACACCACAAGGTAACCACTCTCTCTATATATTACACACACACACACAAATACGGTAGGATTCTCAAGTACATGTGAGAACGCACCAAACTGGTTTCGATAATCGTTTTCACAACCTTGAGTGTTTGAGCATCAGGTGCCAACCCCTCACCTCACCCATTCACCCTTTCACTCCCTCGTGTACATCTACTCTATTTAAAAAATCTTAATTATTTATCTTAAGTATTTAGCAGGACAGGTACCGTTTTATGATAGATTAAGCTTGGTTACATTAGGTTAGGGTACATTAGTTTAGGTTAGGTTCGTTTAGTTAGTTAAGATTAGTTTACAGATTGGCTAAGTTAGGTAAAGGTACCGAAAGTTAAGTTGGTTGTTTTTCGTTATCTACCCATCACCTTTTTTCACATGAAAAATATATTTTTTCGCTAGTTTTCTTGCTGTTTTAGATGATTCTGACATTTTTCTTTGGGGCAAATCACTTTCTTTTCTTTTTTAGGTTGGTTGGTTCCTTTGGTATGAGAATAAGTTATTTTTGGTGTATTACTCAAATCTGACCTTAATTTTTTTGGCAAATTAGCGATTTTTTTTTAATAATTTGGACAAAATATTAAGGTCATATACCAAAGGAACCAACCAACCAACCTAACCACACTAGAAAAAAAAAAGTGATTTGCCCCTAATGAAAATGTCAGAATCATCTGAAACAGCAAGAAAACTAGCGAAAAAAAATATATTTTTCATGTGAAAAAAGGTGATGGGTGGATAACGAAAAATAACCGTTAAGTAATTTGTGGTATCCCATTTATCAACACACTAATACGGGTGTTATGGTTGACAGGTTCACCGCCGAGATCGAGTGCTGGCGCTCTACACTCCGGGACTTTCCAACGCTCTGCCCGGCCGCCGACCCCGAGGTCCTCCGCCCGGCCAGCCGCCCAACCATGCCGCCCAGGGCCGACCACACGCGTCCACCCACACCCATATCACCGCCCACCAGCCCTTGCCGCCCGTAGTCCACACAGTAGAATTCCGCAGTGCCAGGCCAATACGAGTTTGCCAGTGAGCCTAACATACACTGACAGACACTTCCTCATACACCGTACAGTACTACTGTGCAGGTCGTCCTTACCTCACGTGGTGCTTAAGTTTGTTCTGGTAATACTTAGCAAGTTGCTTGTACAGTTTCTGGTAATTTGTCAGCTATTTTTATATTCATATTACTGTATTTTCGGTTCACAACTGAATGGCGACCCACCGGTGTCAACCAGTGAAAGCAGACTGTCTTCTGTCTTCTGAGTTGTGACGTCATAACTGCCTCATTCGCAAGTGAAACAACTGAAAGTTTAAATCAGCTTAAAATATATATGGCATTCGACTAATGTTTATAAAATCGTGAAAACCACTCATGAAACTTGTCTGTAATTACACTTGTACATTATAGTGAAGAAAATGCATAATGGAACAAATAAAGAGTAATAATGAGCCATAATAATGTATTGTGTACACGGAACAATGTAAAGTGTATAAGTGAACAGGAGAGACATTTAAATGATGGTGTCTGCTGTTAGGAACTACAGATAAGAATAAGATATACAATTTAAGAAGGAATCTGCTTACAGGAAATACAAACGGAAAAACACTTTATGAATGGTTATTATAGAAGGAAAATACGCAAAATGTGTTTATACTCAGATCAAATGGTGATGAACAATGTCTGTGACAACAGGAATTTTGTAGTTTTCATATACGAAAACGTGAAATAAATCCTCAAAGGCTGGAACGGTGAATATTCCTCAAAAGTGAAAATGCAAGAATGGCATAATGTTACATTAATGTAGGCTATACAGTAACACAAATTTTGCAAACGTGGTTGTCACATTTTTTAGGTCATTTATTGACATTAACAAAGGAAACCCCGGCTGGCATCTACAATAAACCGGACATATTACAGCATACTTTATAATTTCATACTAGGCTGAGACCGTCCAGCCGGTGGCGGGTGAATGACCGCAAATCCCAGCAAATTATAAAAAAAGGCTTTGACACTTATCACTCTGTCAATGGCTATATTGACTCCTTTACCGGCCTATATAAACATCTATTTATTTTTGTTTATTGCCTTTATAGCATGTTGAGTGGTGTGTGGCAGGTTTCAATGTGGGAACTACTGAAGTCACGCCCCAGCACCAAAGACGTATACGTAGTTGTTTTATATTTTAAGGAAAGTACTAACAATGACGTTGGGATGAAAACAAGGTTGGAGTAAGCCTTAAGTCAGCCAGGTGCAGTCTTACATTTTCAATTCCGAGGAACATTCACCGTACAAACCCTTGAGATATAGTAATGGATGCTAGGTCAAACAGGAATTTAAAGTGGCCTTGTTTTCTATACATAACTTTAAGAATAACTTATTTTTTAAGTCCATTGCATTCCTATACAAATTAAAACTTCCAGAAATTCCCGGACAGTGGTTGTTGGAAGACTATGGTAGGCTTGTTACTATTTTTGTACATATCCAACAATACAACTGAGATTAGCAACTTTGGTAAAATAAAAAAGTAATTGTCTTTGTAAATATGCTTCATGTTTAAGTTAAGTTCAATATATATATGTGTGTTATAATGCATTAAGGTATATTTAGTTTTGAAAACAAAACTTTAGCAGCCGAGGCCAAAGATTATCCTAAGTCGTGGCCAAGACCTGCATTGAAACACTATGTAAGTTGAAGTACCCGCGATAATTGCCCTCGTATATTACTACTACAGTATAATAATAAAAAAAAATAATTGCTTCTTTCTATGAAATTCGCGCAAATACACTGCCTGTTGGGAAAACTTGTTGCAGTGCCTAGCAAATGTTCTTGTATTTGATAACTTACATTCTTGTTTTAGTAGTCGATCCTGAGTAAATTTTTGTACTGTATTTATTTTGAAAATTCTGTATCTATTTTAACTCTCGTTAACTTTCGCACTTAACCGTAACTGAGCCGTTTCTGGCTGCGTTAGTCAGTCCCAGTACGTACTCTTTTCTTTTCCGCTATATCATCCCAAAATATAGCTCCCTGACAGTAATGATAATAATAATTCACTTCTACAACCCTTTGATTCGATTCTCGTATAAATCGGATGAAATCAGTGCGACTCCTGAACGCAACAAGTTTTCTCCCGGTACTGTTGCACTAGACCCACGAGGATGGTGGCCATCCTCGTCAGAGATAAATAAAGCTTTCGATAAATTGCAATTGCATCGGTTTCCAGTTTGCCACTTTCCAGGTGTATGTCAGTATGACATGCAAGTGTAGTTTCATTATTTTAACAGGATAATTGTCGTCACTCCCTTACACGGTGTCAAAGTCATGGTTCTGGGAGGTAGACATCCCGCCACTTCGGTCATGTTTGTTTCTGCATCTTGTGATAAATTATCATTCATCTATCATGTTGTCAGCACTTACATAATGACCCAATACTCATTAAATACTGAACAGTATGATCTATGGCTGCAATGTTTCCACTGTTGTCATGTGTAAATCACATTATCGTCCGTGCTGTACACGTGTTGTCATGATCATCTTCGCTGCTTGGCCTAGGTCGGCCAGTCGACCCAGTTATAATACCGATCATGTGTGTCGAGGAACAAACATAACAGCATCACAATGTATAACTTTCATTATACTGTATGTATTTTATGATTGTCGGGTTTTTAACATTTCCGGTTTTATAAGTTTTAATTATTATTTGCAATGAAGTAAAATTTACACTACAGGCATTATACACACACACACACACACACACACACATATATATATATATATATATATATATATATATATATATATATATATATATATATATATATATATATATATATATATATATATATATATATATATATATATATATATATATATATATATAGTGTTCTTACAAGTCAACCAATCCCTATTGCATCTCAGTAAATATAAAATGATTGATTAACATATCTTATATGAATTAATGCTGGAATAAATGATTTTGCTTCAACACATGAAAACTTTTTTTTCTGTTTTTATTAATTCATGATGCCCCGGGGCAGTAATTACTTCTTGAGCTTTGGATGTAAACTGGTCTCCAATTGTCAAATACTCACAACAGACAGGAACAATATGCGTCTATCTCAAATTTTATTTTCTTTCCCACTCGTCATGTTTTGGCTGTGTCTCGTCCCTTAATGGTTACTTAATGAGCCAACAAGAAGCAATCATTTTACGAATGGATACATGCTGTTTATGTACACTGCAGTACTGTATATGACAACTTGGGACCAGTTTCGTTTGTATGCTAAACATGTTAATTAAGTAAGCAAACTCTTCAGAGTTAATTGAACAATTAAGTTCTTTCTTTTAAGTTGATCTTTACTGTTGTTTAAGATTTAGGTATTAGTTGTTAAGTTTCTGTTGTGGACCAAACAGACAGAGCTGGTTAAAGATCTGATGTGATTTACTTTGAAAACTCAGGGAGCTGGGTACTCATCCTCCTAATGTAAAGTTTTTCTTTGTTTAAACTAATATGGTGTCACTGTAAACAGACGAATAATTGTCAATGATGTGTTAATGATGTGTAATACGTAAATTGTTAATGACAAGTGTGTATAAACATGTAGCGGGTGATCACAATGCGAGGGTGGTACCGTTGCATGACTGTGGCAGTGCGTTTATTTTTATGTATTCTAACATTTATAAGATGAAAACTTTAGAATAAGTACTTAATTATATTTAGTACAACTTAAAATCATGCTGCGTTTGAATTAAGGTGTGGGCCGAGTGCTCAAGTGTGAGTGAATCTTACACGGAGACAGTGTGGCAACTTGCTCAAGTAAAGTTTGCAGTTAATCTTTATTCCAAACTTCTGTTTGCTTATGAGGATTTTTGGCTTTTGTATTAAGAGTTGGTAGAGTCTGGGCCAAGATTCTCAAAGATTCATTTGGTAATTACCGGTACTTTCCCCCTAAGTAAAGATGTGACATATTACCGACTCACTTTAAGTTATGACCCAAACATTACAGCTGGTATGATGGCAAAATTTGCCTCTTTATTTTGTATATTTTCCCTTCCTTGTAGACTATAAAATTTTTACCTAAAAATCTTTGAGAATTAGGAACCGCTCATATAGGTTAAAACTAGAACTAGTTTTCCCTCTAGCATTAGCCTAACAGTGTTTCATTCCATGTGCTCAAAATATTATTGGTATTCTGTTCAAATCCCTTTTCCAAATCGTTTTTTTCTTAAGAAAATCTTCCAAGTGCAATTAAAAAATGTTTTCTGCATAATACATAATGAATATATTTTCTTATTTTACGTTCCCCTGAAATTAAAAAGAATATTATATCACATTCTCCATTAAATATCCAATGACAAAAAAAAAAAAAAAATCACAATTAGTTAAGCATGTTGTGTTGTAAGTTCTGTGACCGTCAAGTTTTTAAAAATTGTTTCTTGTATTTTTTACCCAAGTCTCCATACAAACACATTCCCGAGAGGTAAATTGTATCAGTAAATGTAAAAACTTCTGGTAACAAATATGTGATAGACCTGTACATAGTTTGTGAGAATAAATGCTGCAACCTTGAGTATGGCATGTAATACTATTTCACCTTTATTGTATTCATGTTATAAGTAGTTCTCACTGCATCAAAATCAACTGAGTATGAGCTAATTCAAGGCCAACACTGATGCGGGTAGATACATTCTGGATCCAGTAAGGTACTAGACAACAGTGTGTAACAGACGAGAATGACCACCCAAGCGGCTAACAGGTCGATCAGTGAGGAAGAGGATAAAGTCAAAGTAATAACAATGAAATAAAAAGAGAGTAATAAAAATAAGATAGCCCGAATGATAAAGGAATAATATGGTAATAAAAATTAGAAGAACAACAACAATGGTACTAATATAAGACTGGCAATTAATTATAAATAAAGAAAAGGACATTGGAAAGGTCAAATGCTCCCTAATAAACAAAACAGGTCACCCACCTGTGAATACATAGGTACCTACTGTATATTTAGGGATGGATTAAGAATGACTTAGACCCTGGGTGATGCCCGACCATAAGCAATTCATGAAAATATGCTAGTCAGCTGATCCCTGCATACACTGCAATTGTATTAATTTTGGCATTTACTAATCTTTCGTGCTTCGCTGGCTGCTGGGAAAGTTTTCAGAGAGTCTAAGCTATGCATTTCATCTTGACTCTAAACTATGCATCTCGTCTTGTACGGACAAACATCTAGACCGTGGACATCTTCCATAGAAGAACATTTATTCTAGATTAGTACTCTACTCTTGTGAAGCAATAAGTAGGCCTTGGTTTCCACAGCCTAATTGCCACATCAAACTTGTTTTCTTGTATGGGAAAAATACAGTAGGACTAAACAATATAAGTACTTGCATTTACTTCTGGTGACCCCACATTGCCACAGCTTTTTACCTTCATGCTGACACCATCACGATCACCTCTCAAATTCCAAAGGGTCTTATTAGCACTCACTAATAAATTAAAATGTTTTGTTAGTTGACACAGCCTTCTCTCGGATTCAGTTTAGTATAATGTATGGGGCCAGTAACACTATGAGTAAACATTTATATTTATAATCATGGGAATAAAAATTAATGTTCTTACAAATGGCAGTGAAATGCCTTTTAAGTTTCAGGTACAAAATCCTACTGTAGTCACATGTAAGGAAGTATTTTCATTACACACATGAGAAAAAGCACGGAGTGACTAAAGCAATTAAAAGTAGCTTGTGAAATCATAACTTTGTTTTTCCATAAACTTTCTTTTTAATGCTTCAGATTCTGTAATACATATCTAATTTTTACAAACCACACTCACAATTTACCTTAAAAACATACTCTGTACTGTATCTACCATCAAAGTTCCTCCAGTTCAGATTTTCATACAAGGCTTCAGCACCAATTCAAATCCCCTCCCCCCCATTTTATACTAAGGAATAATTATGTCCATTGTTTAGCTAATAAGTTGAGATATCTTTTCATAGCCAGCATTAACTAGGAATTTGAAAGTGGTATCTGTTTTGAGATCACCAAGTTTGTCGCACTCCAGTAGTTCCTTTGAAGGCACCAGCAGCTCATGGACTTCACTCCCTGCAATAATAATATCAATAAATTCAAGATGTACTCTAAATGGTGGTGCACAAGAGGGAAGTTGTTTGTATATTTTTATGAGTATCCTAGCATGAATAAGGAAGATGCTTTACAAGAAGAAAAGTTTCATGAATTTACCCAAAACTTATCATGACAACAAACCAACACAGAATCATGCATAAACATTTTATGTTACCTTGATTGAATGCTAATTCAATGGTTTTAAACAGGAGTGTGTCACTGATAGCCTCCAGGGGGTTGTCTGTATCCATGTGTTGCCAGGAGTTGCGTAACACGGCTCGCACCCAAATCTCTTGCTTCAGCTCACCGACTTTCTCCACGGGTACAAATGCCAACAGATCCAAAGCCTTCTTGAAGTCATATTCATTGGCATAAACATTGTCTTCACTTGTGTACAACTGTGTGAAAGTAATTAATTAAGGTTTGTCATAATGGTCTAAAGATCAACAAATATATGTGTATCTCCTTTATTGTTTGTATCTTATCACAAACTTGGTAATTTCACTGTTTCACTCCCATGTATTCAGCCTTGACTAAGGCGCTGCATTGCCAAATGTCTTACCCTGAGCTATGGTACGTTCATCTGGAGGCAACTGGACATATAAGCATCCATAAAACTGAACCAGACCTACCTCAACAAGTTCAGCGGGAGGGATGACCCTCATAGCGTCTGGGTCAAGGGAGTTAGCAATGAAGACAGGTTCTGGAAGCTGTTCTTGGTAAAGGATGAGTTCTTCTTCCAAGTTCATGGTGTCATCATCCTCCACACTTGTCTCAGTTGCCCCAGGACTGCTGGATGCAAGACGACACAGCTTGCTTAAGCTTAACAAAGTCTGGAAAAAAAAAAAAAAAGATCTTATAAAAAGTATTATTTTTATTCCCATCCCATGTTTGTTTGAAGGTGAATCAAGTGTACAGAAACCTATAAACGTCAATTATGCTGTGTACATAAGTTTTAAATCGCCTTTACATACATTCTCTTAGTACAGTAATTTGGATTAACTTTACTATTTAAACATGTTAGTTTTCACTTTCCAAAAAAGGGCATTTCGTCCAGCTTATTACAGCTGGAATTGAATACAATAGATGCTCTGCCTATGGGTATATATACTCGTACAGTATAATCATCTGCTTGAATAAAGGCTTTTGTGTTTTTACGAAGAAAAACCGTGGAATTGTAAATGAGTATTTAATGTACGTACAGTATTTTCTGAAGATTCTTTTAAAATGTAAAAATGTCAACAAAATTTAGATAGTGCACGGAAACCAAAATGTTATCAGACAACCCACAGCAGACATTGCCACACTATAATATGACCACAAATTTGTCACAACGCTACCTTACCTTCTTCCTACTGAGGTATGCCGTCTCCTCAAGAGCCAGCTGACGTAGTGTTGAATGTGCAGCAGAGAATTCCCTTGTTTGAATATGGTGGAGCCAGGCCAGAGAGGTGTAGTCTTGTAAGAACCGTGACAGATCTCCTTGAGTACCGTGACTCAGCAGACGACCTCGTTTACCGGTCTCCAGGTACCACCGGAACACAAAGTCTGAGAATCCCTATGAAACATTTTACAGTTTTAGATATTTAAATTTCCACATTTTACACAAAAGAACATAATTATTGCTACAAGCGACCATGTAACAGCTTTAACAGTAATAAAATTGTTACTTTAATTAAGAATTTCTTTTACAGATCAGTAAAGAGTCTTGACACAATGCCAACTTCAAAATGTACAGTACTGTATATTAATTAAACCAGCAAGGAGATTTAAAGATCTCAGTCTTGAGAACTCGACATAAAAAATTAAGTTCTATGTCTGTCCCCCAATTCTATAGAGGAAACACATTGGCATATAATCAAATGAATAAATACATGGAAATACAGAATGTAGATAAAACAACAGATAATTAGTATACATCTAATTTTGGGGGGGGATGTAATATACATATCAGCCACCCAAAGCAGAACTTGCCCTGGGTGCCAAATGGGGCCGGTAAACCATCTTCTTTATTTTTGTTACCTAAAGAGAGCAAAAAGAAGACTGGGTGCATATGTGTTTATTCCTGGTTCCAACCATCCTGAAATACGAAGAAAATGCCCGCTACAGTGATTGTACATTGGAGTGGTCACATTCCTTTGGTCACACTTACATCTGATCCAAACTGGGTCATGTACTGGCTGAGTCTTTCCTGGTTGTTGGTGCGGTCACATACTTCCACCAATGTTCGGAAGTCGCAGTATTTCTCAGCAAGGCCCACCGCTTGATCATACTGTTCACCTTGTACTGTACAAAGCAGGAAAAGTTATAAGAGTAGAGCAATATAAATGGCAATCTTAATTTTGAATCACAATGGTAAAAAAGCTATATAATTACACTACTGACACTAATGTAACAACAGCAAAAAATAATAATAGAACAATGGATCATTTCACCACAGTAACTCTGGCAAAGCTGCTGGAATAAAGTATAAGAACAAAAAATGGGATCACCTGAAGAATCTCCACCCCAGCTTATTTCACTTAAAGATTAACCATCCTAATTGCTCACCTAACCTAACCTCATCCCCCCAAAATAGCGTTAAGTGCGGTTAATCTTTAGGTGAAATAACCAAGGGTGGCGATTCCTCAAGTGATCCAAATACTTTATTTTCATAAATTATATAATTACTTGCTGTCACGACTTGTACTCTACTTGCATTCCCTTGAAAAATAATAAACTTGTATCATAACTTACAGGCAGATTAAATGAAGAGCAATAAACTTACCAAGCGGTTGAATAAGATTGTAGCGGTCCCTCTCGTAGGCACTCGTAAGGGCTTGGTGCGAGTCCAGACTGACAGCCGACAGAGACCGCAGCTGGGGTTGATATCCAGTAAGAATAACATCAGCAAGTTCAACCATCTGCGTATAAAGCTTAGTCCTGGTAGCACCGTCCTCTGCACGCACAAGTCCAATCTGTCATAATGATATTGCACTGAATATCACCTTCACTCGGTACTGTACACTGTACCCGCACTACTGTAATTTGATATTGTTCAGGCTCTGAGTCGATCAAATTAGCATGAAATATCATATCAAAACAAAATTCTAGATTTTTGCTACAGTTTGAGAAAAAAATATTATTTTTACAAGTTGTCTTGATGCTTGATATTGGGAAGTCTAGCAAAACAAAAACTTAATTCTACCTCAACAAAAAATAAAATTATCCCAAAAATACAGAATTAGTGAGGGTTCAGTGTATTTCTAAAGGAAAAAACAAAAGAGAGTGAAAAGGAAGTTCGTCTCACAGGAAGAGGAAGTAAGGAAGAAGTAAGAGACTTGTCATTAATGAGGTGAATGATTTTATATTGAATCTGATATAATAATGACAAATAGAACTGAGGTTCACGACTACATATGTGGTGATGGACATGACTATTATAAAGTAAAGCAAAGTAAAGTATGGACAAACACCAGAAAAGAACCCTAGGTTTTTTTGGATACATTGGTGGCTGATACAATGGGAGTTTTACCGAATACTGTATAAATGTTTGCTGTAGCCTGTGCTCTACTCTGAGGTAAACTGGTGGATTGTATTTATTCAGTGACAATAGCCAGTTGCTTCAAAGATCTTGCATTGACCTTGTTGAAGAATTACCTATGTTAGACAAATGTTGGGCATGTAATAAGTAGATGAACTGTAGAGAATGGGGCAGCATTATAATGTGGAGAGAGAAAATGTTGTGAGATGTCCTTTGATTTCTCAGAGGTTATACCTAAGATAAAGATGTGCAGTGAGTTGTGTGTAAGTGGAAGCTGGAAATGATCCTGTTTGAGAGAGATAGTGAAGAAATATAAACTACTCGTACCTTAACTGTAGTGCCATGTTGCTCCAGTAGCAGCGTCCGTACACCACGAGACCCCTGAGAGGCTGTCCACGGGATGTGTTCCAAAGGTGGGTCATTGGTGGCTCCCGTAATGCCGGAAATGCTGCTAGAGACAAATCTAGCACTTTGCAGCAAGGCGAGGACAAGTGTGTTGACAGAGTGTATTGTAGCTGGAGGATCTCGAGGGGCGACATCAGCTGCCAACACCTATCAAATATGAAGTGAATAATTTAATATTGAAATCTATCAATGAGTGACCACATTAACACAACTGAGTAGATGACAGATATTTCCCAGTCCTACACAGTAAATATTCATAACATCCTATAAATACTTCAGAGATTAAAATGTACAGTATTAAAGGTTACAACGTCCAGTCTTGGGTTAATAGCTGTACAGTATCACAGTGAATACCATATATAGTGATTACCGAGGTTACAGAACAAAGCTCAGAAGCATTACAAAATTAAGTTTACATTACCCTGGCAAAGGTAAGACAATTAGGGCTTGGTGAACAGTCATGTGTTGTCTTGTCTCAGTCGGTGACACTGTTTGAAGGGTTACAGTGCAGTACCATATACAGATCTACCACAGACATGGTGAAGTGCAACCCAGGGAAGGTGAGGTAGTACTCTCAATCACTCAACATGGGAAATTATTTAGAAGCTAAAAAAAAAAAAAAAAAAATTCTCAAATCTAGCAAAGTTAAACAATGACATAAATAAAAAGGAAATGTAAATAAATAAACTTATAAATAAAAAATAAAAAAAAATGAGAAGGGACATCATACAAGGAGGCCCAGGTATGTACCCTTTATTTTCCTTCTATATGACCTGACCTCCCAGGATAACACTGAACATTAACCAACAGACACAAGTAATCTCCGACGTACTTCCTCTTGTGCTCGAAGTAAACCCCAGATGATGTCCTCAACCTGGCTCACACGACGATAAAACAAGTCAGCGTGAGTCAGCTTGCCCTTAGGGGACTCGTAACGGTCAGTAAGAACGTGTCTGGAATTAAATAACTTTAATTAACAGTTAATCACAATGGAATTAATTATCAGTCAGGTTTGGAACCTGATAATTAATTGATAACGTATATTTTTTAAAAAGATACACTAAGGACAGACCCCCAATTTACATGAGGGAGTTATGTTCCTGTAAAACCTCTCGCAAATCATTGTTTTATATATCGATACACATTTTCCCATTGACTCTGGTAACCTCTCAAAAAAGGAAAAAAAAATCCACTGCTCGACCCCTATTCTTTGTTTACCAGGTACATGCCAGGGTTTTTGCTTGTAGATCAAAGTACAGGACATTTTTCTTTTATATCCGAGTTTTTGTCAGTAAAATCCTTTTAAATTAGGGTCTGCCAGTAAAAGAATATTTTCCACTCCTGCAAGCCCATTCCTACTATATTCTACCCATATTCTCGACACCATCAACAAACTTGACACTCCCTCATCCTTTCTCCAGCCCTGTTGAACACTTCCTTGAAAACACACATTTCTTTTGCACTTCTTCACCTTCCCAAATTTTTTCATTATCATCCCCAGATTCTCATTCAACTAATTTCCAAACCCCTTATCTTTATATTTTTTCTTTACTCATATCAATCATCCCTTCTGCTATTCAAAACAACAGACACATCAATCACACACAAATCCTAACCTTACACAGTATTAAAACAGTGTACGGCATTCTTCTCATCTCAAAAACTGGAATTCAGTCTTATTAAATGACACAATTTCTTCTTTAAACAAATGATCTACGTATGAGACACAATAATTTATTCACTTGATAACCAATGATGCATACTGTACGAAACCTCGAGAATCTTGACCCTTATTATCACCCAACCACACACTGATACAAAGAGAAAACACACCACTGGCAATAATCTTACTTTATAGCAGCATCAATGAGGTGTTGGTGGTCGTTGTGTTTAGAACGTAACGCTGTAGCAAAGGCGAGTCTCTCTCCATGTTCGGCCAGTACAATGCGCGTCAAGACACGTGTTTCGTCTACTACTCCCACACTCAAGCGCTGCCACAGTCCTGTCTGTGATAACATTAACACTGGTTTTAATTATTACAGTTCTGCAAAAATAAACCTTGGAAAAAATTAAGATGATTAAATGAAAAAAAAAAAATCTAAATCCAGTATCAATCAGAGTACAGTACTGTACTGTAGATTTGTGCAAATATTTACTATATAGTCACAAGAAGAGCAAATATTCCCAGGGTGTGGTTTATTTAACAACAAAGAGTCACAACACTGCCTACGATCACTGGAACAAAACCATCTTGCCAAAATACACAACATACAATTATTTTCCCAAGTCCCATAAAATTACATTAATTTTTTTAAAAAGTTGATTTAAAAATGTCTAATTATGGACTAGTAAATACCATACAAAGAATGAAAATAAAATTAACCTCACTCAATGACATCCATCCTTACCCTGCTCAGAAGACCCAAGACGTGTATCAACCTACCTGGTGCAAAAAATTTATGTAATACTGATGGGCTGTGGTCTTGTCCCTCAGTTGGTTCTGTATGAGGAGAGACATGGGCGCACCCGTCCCTCCAGCCTGGTTACTCTCGGCCCACCTGGGATCAGTGGCTGGGGAGTCATTGAGCAGGTTGGACGAGAGCTGGATCACTGTGCCGTCGAGGTTCGTGTTGTCTGACCCGGGAAACAGTTCATCCAGAAGGGCCTAAAAACCAATAAAAAGAAATGAAAAATTTATATCTGTTGTCCTTCCTATCTATCAGCCTTATTCCCAAATCACATGTAACTAAGCAATAGTGAGAAAAGTTTAGACATTCATTAAATAGAAAGTAAATTTTGAAAACAATTACCTGAGCTTGTGGGATGTTGCTTTTGTTGAAGTGTAGGAAGGCTGCCTGGAGTCTGGTGGTGTAATCATGGCTGGAGGTGATGGACTCCAGGCCCACACTGCTGATGTTTAGGGCCTCACACAACCTGGACGTGTCCTCTGCCATGCTCTCATTCATCAACACACTGAGGAAGTTAACAGATAGTCAAACATTTGCCAAGCACCTTAAGAATTATTACCCCACCTAACATACAGTATGGAGGTTGAATACATTACATCTACTGTCAAAATCACACAGCACCAAACTTTCAGTTGAATGTGATAGCATTAAGATGGAATATTTGCCTAAACCCTAGATGTCCTCCCTATAACACCAGCTTTCATCAATAAACAAGTCTTGTGAGTGCTTATACTCTTCCTGGAATTAGCTTCGTAAGTAATCCATAACACGTCAGACTTTATACAACTTAATCAACTTCAACTTGTGTGTGCAGGTGGTGGGTGTGGTGGCTGCTTCATCTATCTAATCACCAAAACATGGAGAACTATTCACCACATGTTTGCTCCTGTGTTGTTAAAGGTGTTACAGTATTAAAGAGCAAAGAGGATTTATGTGCTGATGGTCACTGCCTGATAAACTTGTGGATACTTTAAACACTTCTTCCCAACCCACAGGAAACAACATCAGACGTAAGAGAGACACACAAAAATTAAATGCATGGTGCAGCTCATCATGTTCTACTTATCACTGTGAATACACCAAAAAAAGACACAGTACAAAATAAACACTTACCGGTAAATAACAGTGGGGTTTTCATGCAAGGAAACACCGGCTTACATCATAGGTTGGAAAAAAATCTGATAATCCATGAGCTGTGAAAATGTGCAAACAGTACAGTATATAAAGACCAACAATTCGCTAACCTTGACTGGTTAAGATGCTGGTTAGAAGTTATGGACACAATGCCATGATTTGCAGAGAAAAACAGAGGGAGGCCTTGTGAGCGACCCACACCGAGGATGCTGTCTCCTGCCCCAGAGAACTCCACGCGGTCACCACTGTCACCCTCACCTACCGCTAATGGGCAAAGGATTTTTTCAAAATCAGGGAATGTCACTGATAGAACTAACCTTAAAAAAATATTTATGTATCAAATACCCTTAAACTTTATTATGTGTAAGATGAATACAGAATAAAAATGACCCCAAACAAATGTCTATTAATTATACAGAGTATATATATATACAGTATATATATATATATATACTGGACTACAAAAAAAAAATTTCCAGAAGGCTCACAAAGCATTATTGCTAATATGACAATAACCTGGTTATCGTGCAAGCATAAAACTTCTAATTAGGTTGTACTGTACACCACTTGTCCAAATTTGACTAAAAAAGTAATGAATGCACAATTGGCTTTACCTGAGACACAGAGAACAGTGTTTTTGTTGTAGATGTACGCCGTACTGGTGCACAATAAGAACCGCTGAGCCAGTAAAACGTTCTCTGCAGACTCCTGGTAGTACTCGGAGTGTTTCAGCACGGAGAAGTTGCTCACCGCCAACGGAGGAGCACTGCCCCCTGTCTCCATTGTTGCTGTGGAGATAAGATGGTAATTATATCACGAGTGACTACTACAGGTTGACAACCCTTTATCCGAAATTCCGAAAACCGAAAAGCTCTGAAAACTGAAAGTTTTTTGTGGAGCAATTTTTTTTTTTTTTAAAAGGGATTAGCCCACCCAGGCATAGATCACTGACCCACATCGGGGCCTGGGGGGCGAAAATGTAATAGTAATACTAATTATTATAATAATAATAATACTGTAATAATAATTATAATAATACCTGTAATTATTCATAGTAAATAAAAATTTTAATTAAAAAATACACCAAAAATAAAATAATAATGATAACAATAATAAAATAATAATAATAAAGAAATACAAGAATGAAAAAAAGATAAAAAGTGAGTAACATGACCTAGACCTATGAATTATTATTATTACCTGTATTATTATTATTATAATTATTATTATATTTTCGCCCCCCAGGCCCCAATGTGGGTCAGTGACTTGTGCCCGGATGGGTTAATAAAAAAAAAAAAAAATGAAAACCGAAAAATTCCGAAATCCGAAATGCCTCTGGTCCCAAGGATTTCGGATAAGGGATTGTCAACCCCATACACTACTGTAAAATTTACGTCAACAGTTTGTAACAGGAATAAAACAGATACAGTACAGTACTGTACACAGAAGAAAAAATATCTTTCACATATTACAACTTAACATTGTACAATACAGCATTTAAATTTTCCACGTTTTAACAAAGCATATCGGTGGAACTATATGGTAATTGCCCCAAGACAGTACTGTACAGTGAAAGTAGTTGCTTCATATTTGAGTGTCTACTCAACAGGTTATCCCACGGATGTAGTTTGAGTGAGGGATTCTGGTGATGGTGGTTTCACACAATACCTCAGGGCCGTCAGGTGTCGTTCATACTGATATTGAACTTTGAATTAGCCAATAAAATTATAGATACCTATATTATTAGGTCGCCAGGTGGGCTTAAGACATAATATATGGAATATACCCCCATGTCACTATACCCACCGACTCACATTTAATATACTGCAATGCATTGGAATCTGAGACAATGTCCATAGTGTAGGCAGCTGTGAATACTTCAGATCCAAGAGCTGACACTCCCAGGTTCACAGCACATGGGTAGGGTGGACTAACAACAAGAGTTGGAGTGTTAGAGGCTGTATCTAAATTAAGATTTTCAACAAAATCCAATTTTGGGCCGAAACTGCCAAAACTAAGCCTAATGCCTTGGTAATTTTTTATCTGCACTGTGCTTTTCTTTCGGAATTTAAATTTTAGGGGTTTAACTTTTTTTCTTTTTCTTTACTGGGACTAGCCCATCCGAGTAAAAAGAAATTACAAATAGAAAAGTAAATGTACAGTGCATCCAGAATAACACAAAAACACCAAAATCTCACATCAGAAACCCGTAGTTGGCGAGTAGGCCTAATTAGCGTTGAAAAAGAGTCATTAAAATTCTTCCAGGCGCCAATTATGACCACAAATTACCCAACACATCTGCTGACCATCTGCCATTAATAAACTGTCTTGTAACGGTGTCCATCATTATTCACACTTCCATCCACCCTAAATACTTGGTTTATTGCCACTTGATCCACTCAACAGAGAGAGAGAGAGTGGAAAAATGATAATATATTCATCAACTCTTTATATGAATAATACTCTCTTGACTGAATAATTAAAAAAAAAAAAAAAAGTGTAACAGCCAATTGTCCCGGAATATACGAGTTTTACACAAGTTTCCCATGGGAGGAGGAGAGAAAACTTTAGTATTGTGTGGCGCCGCTAGATGGCAGCACCGGCGCCACAGTTTGTAAACATTGACACTCCCAGCTGACCAACCTGCCTGCAGTACTGTAACTATTGCCCTCATTTAATATAGTTTTAGGTTGTTTTTATAATGATGTAGTGATATGTATTATGTAGACACTTTTTAAATAATTAAGTGTGGGTGTACTGTATGTGAGTGATAATATAGCTAGTAAGGGAGAATATTCGTTTTAGTAAGAGAACGTTTCACACTGTTCACTTCCTCTATAATCGGTATACAGGTATTTATTTACTGAAGTCACCACACAAGTTTAAATTAGTTCAACACGTACACAAAAAAAATGGAGAAATATAAATAACTATTAACAGGAAGTTGAGTTAAACAAGGATAGTCAATATAGTGAATTTCCATCCGAGTCAGTTTTATTAAATTGACTTACTTGGTCTTATTTTCCAAACCTATTTTATAATGTTTGGTTTATTTATCTGTACTAATTACCATACTGATCACCACTACTTTTTCTTGCAGGGTTTTGCTGATTTTTCTTTTTTTTAAATTAATAAACAGTTTTAAGGCGTGTGAGGTAATATTTGACGAGCTTTACACACCCAAACCAACTATTTATTACGATACTGTGTCAAAAATTTACTTGCCCCGAGATAATTGTAGATTTGGTCGAAGAATTAGTTTTTGTATTTCTATTTTTGTGTTGTATTATTCTTGAGAGAAACTTTCACTTGTGTATTTCAGGACTGTGGTGTCGTTTCAACTCCAGTTTCACAATAGCTTTCAGGATGTCAGCACGCAATCAAGTTATTACTCAACAAATTAAGCAAGACTGGATTAATCGGGAATACATTGAGGTAAGATTGTGTAATACTTAGTTGAAATTCTCTCCATGTTAAGAATATTTTACTAACAATAATTGGCCACCAAACATCAATTAACCTACAGATTATAAATTACTTCACTGAAACTTAGGTGCCCAGATAATGCTTCCCAACACCTCTAACCACACAAGTATGACTACCGGTACTGATAAACCTATGATAAAACTGGAAATGTTTACCTCGTAATTTTGCCCTCTTGACATTTACTCTGGGAGTGATAAACCAAATCTTTGGTAATTAAAAGCCTGGTAAAGACGGTCTTGAAATATTACGTTGAGGAAACCCCTTAAAGATACACCATCATCCTTAACCGTTTCAAATACTACATACTGCATTATGTTTCACGCGGATACAGTATATACCCAGTGGCTTTACTTATGATTAAAAGATGGAAAAATTTATCTTGGTTTCTTGTGAAGATTTATATGCTTGCTCTAACACACAGCCAGGGAGTAAAGCTGATAGAAAGGAGGCCATCATAATTATTAAGTAACAACATTGTCTCTCTTCAGGTCATCACCAGCAACATCAAGAGGATCGCAGAGTTCCTCAACAGCTTCGACATGTCATGTAGATCCAAGCTGAGTCAACTTAACGAGAAGCTGACCATGCTTGAACGGCGCATTGAATACCTCGAGGCACGAGTTACGAAAGGGGAAACCCTCAACTGAAAAATATGGCATGCAGTCGGGGGCAAATGTACAAATACGAAGACGGGCACGATATTACCTAACACAACCTTATGGACTTGAGGAGGATGGAAAGCACAATGTTATGAATGATTGACTGCCATGAGACTTGTGTTTTTGTATATATTTGAACCTAACTGTGCATATTTACACTAGAATATATTAATAAGTATTATACCATACCAGTGCTAGTTAATTAATTAAAATGCTCTTTAACACAGTAAAAATTAGTATCTCAAAGCCTTGTGAGAATTATTTTGAGTTAACAGCTGCAGTGAAAACCAATCCAGTATATATATATATATATCATTGGTGTCAAAATAATGTACCTTGTGACAGTAGCTAACATCATCAACAAAACATTGTACAGTATACCACCAAAATCGAACTAGAATCATTTTTACTGTGGAGATCAAGTCTATGTATTAGTTTTTCAAGTTTTTTATAAATAAATGAAGAGAGATTAATTACCTGTGTTTCAATATACTGTAGTTACTAGAATTACAGTACAGTACTTGTACAATACTGTACTATGTTAACTTAAGAACATGTAAAGGATCTTGGTCTTTCAAAATTCAGTATATTGTCTCATGAAGAATTTGTTCATAATCAGGAGGTACTTCACAAGAATGATGTAGGGTATGTTGGGGGGGGGGGGGAGCTGATCACATCCCTTCACCTCCACACAATTGTAAACATGACAGTTCTATAATAAACAATTTACCATAAGGAATAATTATCGACTTTTGAGATTTCATATAAAATTTAGATTGGTATTATCTTTTTAATTGCCAACCAATGCAGTCATTCCTACAGTGTATAGGTTCCCGTCTGAGCTGAATAAAATATTAAAAGTGGAATCCCCATAGTGAAGGGATTAATCTCCCATTTAAATCCCTCTCCATGACTCGCTTAACCCATTCATACACTGTATAGACTGGTATAGGGTATATGCCATCTGGTGCATGAGTAAAGACTTTTCACCACGATCTTTTACTCGACAGCACAAATTAAATACACTTCATTTATCATACTGTAATTACTTTCTACTACAGTATATATAATGCATATTAGCACAACATACATACCTGTACTGTACTACAAAACTGTCTAGATGCAAGAACCAGGGGACCCATCACCTCACCTGGGTTATGAAGACACAACTGTTATTTAAACAGCAGGAGACGTTTAGCTCCAAGATGCTCAGGCTGCATCACTACACCCGCCAGCAAACTCCACCCTCCACTTCCCTCATCTAACCAGTTCATCTATCAACATGTTTTTGTTGTTTTAATCATTTCCCAATTCTCATTTTCTTCTTTACTGTTAACCACTCTTTGGCTTCTTCAAATAACCTGTAGTTATGAAAATACTGTACAGTACTTCATATAACTACCAGTGCCAGGCAATGTACTAATCTATCTACAACACGAAGTACAGTGATCCCTCGGTTAACGAAATTTCGGTTCACGAATTACCTTCCATAAGATTCTTCACTTCAGTTAACGAGCAATCCCTCGATTAATGAATTCCTTACGAGCGCCCCTCAACATGTTTTCGCTTGCTCACTAGCTGTCTTATTAGTCCGCCAATACAGTAATCGGTTCTAGGGCTTAAATTCCTTACCATTTTAGTAAATATCAAGAAGGTTGTACTATTCAATCATTTTAAAAGTTTTATATTAAATTTTTTAGTCATTTTACCAATTATTGAATATAACTGAAGTACAGGAAACTAGTTTTGTGCGCGCCAAACAGCCACTCAACACACCAAGCTTGGCATCAGTTTGTTTACAGGTTCAGAGGAAGGAACATCTTGTTTGAGATTCTTCAACATAAATGCTTTTTTTCTGTGTTTCCAGTCAAATTATTGGTCATTTTGAAATATATTTTACATATTGATAATATATAGCGCAGTGCAGTGTTGATTTAAAGAAAATAATCTTGAATTACACCAAGTGAACTAAAATTTTATGGGTGAAATGGCACATGGGGTGACTTCTCTTCCACCCCAATGCCTTCTCTTCTCCCTTCTCCTCCACCCCCATTTTAATTCCCATCATCATCAACCAGGAGCCTTCTACATGCACACCTCAAAGTAAATGTACTTTACTACATTTATTTTTCATTTGTATGTAATTTTCGGTGAGCTGGAACCAATTACCCAAAAACCCATTGAAACAATGGTTTCGGTTAACGAGCAACCTTCTGGAACGAATTGTGCTCGTTAACTGAGGGACCACTGTATGTACTTACCAAGAGCATACACCAGCTGCTGTGACACTTGAGGGTTGACTGCAGCAGTGAGGACCATAACAGATGTAGCACCAGAGGAGGGCTGCATATCCACCAGCCACACCCGCAGCTGTGTCGCACCTGCACGCTCACGACCCTAGTAGAGCACCGACAGGCAAACTCTTAGTGAAGTTATGTTACCTTTAAAAATAAATCAATTTAAAAAGGATGCCAGTGTGAGGACTTTATGGAATTACTGTATTTCTATTAATCTAAAGTATTCGGAATACAGTACAGTAATATAATTTACTTGCAACCAAACAATGAAAAATTGCACAAACAGAATATAACTTTTACACGACTCCAATAATTCAACTTGTAGCTCTTGTTCAGTGTGCAGTACTGTACTCTGCCTAATCCATCATAACATTTAAAGTGACAGGGAGAGACACCAACAAAACTGGAAGAAACTACTCACCCACACATGGTCAACAAAGCCTTCTCGTATGTACTTCTCCACATTGCACTCGTACACCAGCTTGTCAGGTTCACCAGGTATGAGATACCACTTCTGCAGAGAGTGAGCCGAGAGCACCAGCACTGCACGTTCGTCATTCTCTGCCCCAGGGACTCCCACTGCTCTCACTAACCGCTGCAAATACCAACATATACATACTATTAAAAACATGTTTCGTAAACCACTTTTATAAGTTTTTGTTTAACCACAAGAACAATGAATAATAATGTTAGTGACAAGGAACCACACTTCAACTCACAGCCTCTGGAGCCTGGATGGGCATGGACCCAAACACTAACGATGACACCCTGCGAGAGATGCCCCCCAGTAGACCTGCTGGAACCTTTAGCTGTCGTACATTGATAGTCTGATTCCCACCTGAACCTCCACCTGGTTGGATAAGTAGTGTAGTTGATGTGGTTGTTGCGAGAAGGCAGCCCAGAGCGGGTCCAAGGAATACCAGACTGTCACACTCTTGACCCTAAGATAAAGGCAAAGATTTAGTTGTAAGTGCAGTACAAGCAGAAGGTAATGTGTGTGATCATATGATAGTTAAACCATCTTGGAAAAAGTTTTTAAAAGTTTGTAGCAACAGTATTGCTGTGTAATTCTATTGAGTACAACATGAAGCAAGAGATGTATTCCAAAACTAATTTGTGTAAGTCATGAAGCTATAAATAAGGAACCCTTCCCTGAACAGGACAAATAAAAGTAGTACAGTACAGTAGACCCTTGAAACACTATGACAGTGGGACCAAGAATTCCCATGAATCGGCAAACCATGATATATCAGTCTATGTACATCAACTGGAAATATACGGTACAGTACAAGACAACAGCCCCCCAAAAATACTAAAAAATATGATCCTATAACCTTCCCCAAAAGTAATTTTTATTCTCATAATGAAAGAATGTGAAATATGATCAGAGAAACTTACAACAATTTACCTTCATGCTCTATGATCACCTGCAGAATCTCATCTCAGCATGTGGAAAATACAATGTGTACATGGTGATAATACTGGCCCTGGATACGACACTACATAGTAATTTTTGCAATTAGTTTTGACAGTAACCATGACACTAACCTGGAGCTCTGTGCTAACTTCGAAGTAGGAGCCTTCATGAGCAATACTTGGCCAATATCGCACAAAACCCTCAGGAGATGCAGCTATACAGGATGGTACCTGAAAGATGGTGGTTGGTTGTAAAATTTAACAGGACAGAATGTCTTTCTTTTATATTGAGCCATGAAAACATTATAATACTGTGCTGGGTCTCCAAATAGATATGTTTGGGTTCTGCTTGTGCCCTTAGTAATAAATGGGCACACAGACAGGTAGAATGACCCTTGGGTGGTTGATATAATCCTAAACTTTCACTGCACGATTGTATGCTCACCTGTCCTTCATTAGCTGAATAAACAACCACAAGCTGAGCACGATGAGCGAGGTCTGATGGTGGTAATGTAAGCTCCCGGAACTGGTGGTTGACAAGGCGTCGAGAATCGTCCAATCTGTAGCGCCACACTAACAGGCGACGGCCACACACCAACCATGCCCACCCACACTGTGACAAAACTGCTGACATCTCCACATTACCTGAAGTATATTAAGCAACATCAAAACTGAATCTGAATTCACAACAGTTCCCAATATATATATATATATATATATATATATATATATATATATATATATATATATATATATATATATATATATATATATATATATATATATATATATATATATATATATATATATATATATATATATATATATATATATATATATATATATATATTAATAATAATCCTTTATAAACATTAACAATGGTGATGTGCGTCTTCATTCCTTACGATCAACAAATGTGAGAGCTTCCATGACCAGAGCAGGCAAGGATGCTCCATAGCTCTCCAGAGAGTATTGACCACTTCCTTCCAACAACTGTGAGGTCTGTAGGGAACGGTTCAGTGGTGTTGATCGACTGAAAAATGTGTCAATCAACAATTAGGAATATTGGCTTTTACTAAACAAAAATTTATATGCAAGTAAATCACTGTAGGTGCGCGTGATCTAGGTGTATATATATATATATATATATATATATATATATATATATATATATATATATATATATATATATATATATATATATATATATATATATATATATATATATATATATATATATATATATGAATAATGAACTCCAGAATTTGTGAAGAACAGTTAGTGTTAAAACTAACCAGAAATAATGCACTTAAATGGACAAGGCAATCAGATGATAAAATAACTGACTGAGAATAAGAGAGACAGGAATATTGTGCATGTTTTTTAAAAATTTGCATTTTGTAATAATTGATAAAACATACAGTAGGTCCATTATTTAAGTGGCCTATTGATAAGGCTAAGATCAGGTGAGGTACAAGTATGGAAGTGTCAGAGATCAATAACAGGTAGCATTAATATGTCCATAACCTAATAACTCACCCAGGTGTATAAGGTGATCGTTGGGCAGTTCCACTAAACAGTCCTGTACTTCTTCTCCGTGCTGCGGCTGCTGCTGCTGCTCTTGCACTGGCTGAGGAATATGACGCATTGGCAGTGCCTCCTCCCCGGTCTGACACAGGAGTGTACATCGTGCTGGTGAGGGGTAGGGGGTGAAATCCTGGTCAATATCACTAATATGGTGTAAATAAAGTACAGTAAACGGAAAACAAACTGAAGAGGAAAATTATTTCAAGCTTCAACTTACACAATTGTGTCAAGATATATTTCATGTTTGGGCAAAATAGCTTTAAATTATTATTCATTATTTATGCATAACAACAGAAATTATTAGTCTTCAAACACTTAAGGATATCTGCTACTTAGTGAGCTTCAACCCTGTGTGTACGGAATCCTTTCTGAGCAGAATAATATCATCTGGTATTAGCCAACTAAGGTAATTACTGTATATACAACTTCACACCCGCTGAATCTTCATAGAAAACGAATTTAAAAGTACCACAATTTCACTGTTTTATAGATGACAATGTCGTAATTAAGGCAAATGTGTTAAAATATGTTTATTTAAAGTTCAAGATAAGTTAACCTAACCTAACAAACCCAAACCTAACGTAACCGAACCTTACTAATCTAACTTTAAACCAAACCAACCTAACCTAACCATTCCAAAACGTAAAATCCTATAATTCGCTGGATGACCAAAACGATAATAATACCAATTTTCAGAATATTCTCTTCCAAATCATTTCCCACCAGGAGACTGCAGAGTACTAAGGTGCTCTAACTTTACAGCTCCACCCCAAATACTTCTTTTAGGACACAAGTTGTATCACATCATTTTCCCTTATTTATCACAAATGAGGTTAGAGACACTAGCGAACCGATTAGTGGTGAAGAAGATAAAAAGTCACCCGTTCAAACACATCTTAACACTCACATACAATAACCACAGCATAAACTACCTACTTAGTTATATCACTTCAATCAGAACTTGACACTCTTTTCCTAAGACCTAAGACCTAAGACCCCTTCAAAATATTCAAGAATGTTTAAAAATTGAGGAAATACTTGTTATTCCCGCCGCCTCGTTCAACTGTGGTAAAGTAACATCAAATATAACACAGATTCACTCGGATTAATCTCCATTGTTCCTTAAGTGTTTATTTAACTCTCTTAATGAACATCTAAACTTAAGAGAACAGAGAATATATTAAAATTTAAATCAGTTTTATAATTTATCTAATATATGAGATATATTAACCGTTTGGTCTTATTTATTTATATTAGTTTTAATATAAACCTTCCATCACTAATACTAAAAAATCTGACTTGGGGTTTCTAAAATATATTTCATATTTTATTCATTTCTCTTCAAATTTCAACTCTTCATATTAGTACAGTATATATTAAAAATATATATATATATTAATCAACCACAAAAGGCTGAAAAATATCGGTTTAAAGGCATCAGTAATATATTTCTTGTATTATTAGTTACATACAAGTTTACCCTCAAATGTCTTTTCTGTAATGGTGTACTTTCTCTGGTCTCCTCCCAGGTGTCTCCACGGTCTCCTACAACACTAATCCGTTATCTAAAATAATGTGTGAAAACAGTAGAAAATTCCTTCCTTCATAATTTACCCACATAGTGTAAGGTAAGCTGTTGTATTATAGTGTGTGTGTGAGTATTGTAGTCATTATAGTAACTGGATATTGTAATACTGTATAGTGTGTTCCAATGTATTTATTTCTGGTTTATTTTGTCAAATTTGGTCGACAGAAGGAGAATATATCCCAGTACAGTATAAAACAAAAACTGGTTCTATTATTTTATTCGTGGAATTTTGTGACTGACCTTGTATAGCGGGTCTGACTAATTACCCAAATGTACCCAAATATAGCCGGAATGAAGTCAAATAATGGTTCTAGATGAATAAATCAGACTGCCAATCACTTCTCTATTATTATTTGGTGTTAAAGTAAAAAAAAATTGGTAAACTTAATTTAATCTGAGTTAATAGATCAAGTGCATGTACCTAACCTAATCTAACATAACCTAACACAACACAACTCAGATTAAATTAAGTTTACCAATTTTTTTTTACTTTGACACCAAATAATAATCGAGAAGTGATTCACAGCCCGAATTACGCTTGTACGAGCATCATTTGACTTCATTGCGGCTACATTTGGGTAATTAGTCGACCGTGTATAGCTGTACGGTATGTGGTGTATGTATAGGGTAATATATATGTGTACATGTCTGTCTGTGTGTTTGTTTATGCATCTACACAACAGGCTAATACCACCTGTGGACGAAATACCTGTATTATCCCACACTTGTTACTGAATCTGAAATGATTAGGGTTAAGGCCACAGATTCTGAATTTTGTATCCTTGTATCCTATAGGGCATGGCTCCAGTATAAACCTCCTCCTCCATATAACAAGCATCAATTTAATGGTTATAATTCGTTATATGGAGGTTTCACATCTAACAAATCTCGATATAATGGTCTGTACTCTCCCATATAGTTAATTAAATAAAGGTCTCTCTGTAGTTAAGGGGTAATATGTTATGATACAGTCACATAAAATGTAGTGTCTTTAGGGAAATTATCTATAGGAGAATATTTCTCTCTTATCTCTTAATTGTCAGTAAAATGCTGGAGGAAATACATCTTTGTCTCTTTAATTTTTATTATGTTTTTGTTATGAATACAGTGCATGTATGTGTGGATGCCATGTTCACATTCTTTCTGTTGATAGTAACCTATAACAAAATAATGCCCTAACCCAACCTACCGAACCTAACCAAACTAACGTACCAACCTAACCTAACCAACCTACTTACCTAACCTAACCAACCACCTAACCTAGAATAATGCCATGGGAGTACAATATGCAGTCTCGTATATGCTTTATTTGTTTTACTTTCTATTTCACAATATTTACTGCCACGTACAGTACAGTAAATGCTCTTACAGGTGTTAATTTAATCCCTGGGAGCCCTCACAGTTGTTAGTAGGTACAGTACTTAACTATATACTGCATACGTTAGGAAAAATTAAAACAGTCAAGAGCTGTGCTAGCCATGCTCTCTCCTTGTGTATTGAAGGATTAGTATACTGTACAGTGTTCTGTATCCATAACTTGCCATCAGGCCTGTGGTATGCACTTGCATGGTGGCATATTCAATACAGTACAGTATAGGTATCATACCCTAAATCATATACAGGCATTAATTTTTTTCAAGTATGAACTGCCATTCTACGATTACTCATGGAATTGATCCATGACTGTTTACAATACACAATCATGTTTGTTTATAGGAACGTCAAAGTGTATGATGTCACAGGAAGACCCCGGGGAAGACTTAGAGTCCCTGAAGCGACGGCAAGCAGAGACACGCTTTAAACTGAGCCTAGCCAACAGACACATTAGTACCTTGTATAGAGAGGTGAGTCTATAAATATTTATAAATGTTCATTTCTCTCCCGGATATTAGACGGGGAAATGGATCCCGCATTCATTTCTCTGTTTAGTGCCCAGGCCACCAGATTCATCCAGTTGTGAATGGATTTGTTATCATAACAGTTTGGGAAGTGAAAATGGTAAAGTACATTGCCACCCACACTAATACTATCTCCTTGTGCACTGAAAAAGCTTTGTTTATGGCAGGGCAATGGTTTATGAGGATAGATGCGTGCAGTGACAGGGATAAACCATATAGATCTCATGGCCCTGTTATAGAAGGGAAGTATCAAAGCAGAACTTGTGTGACAGCATTAAAAGTGAATGAGTAACAGTAAGGTTGTATTTGCTCGTGGTTCTGGTAAAGGGGTTGCAATAGTGAATGTATCCACTATGACTCTTTCAGTTAACTGGTGTTTGATTCTGAAAGCCATCGTGAATTATTGTGAGAGGTCTCGTCCTGTTACAGTCCTTTTTTTACACTCTTACTTTACTGTTGCATCCTCCTGTATCACACTTTACCCCATCTTCCACTACAGTATACATTAGAGGGCCAACACAACCTTTAATGTGTGGCCAGTGTACACGGCCATAGGGCATTGTGGCCAACACATATGTATGTCGTCTTTTCCCACCATGATTTTGAAAGACCTATTACCTTCCTGTGTTCCCGATGTTTATATCTCAAGGAGTTGTGTGTGTGTGTGATGTAAGTATAATTATGAACATATCCACCTCACATGGCACAACTTATATACCGGGTATATCATATATTTGCCTCCCAGATGTCAAATAAGCTAAATAAACACGTTTTTTGTCATAATGTATTACAATATAACATTATGCATGCTTTTCTACTATTTCCCATATAAAAAGACTATTTTGGTAAGATTTTCACCACCCTGTATTATTTGCACATACAGTGTGTAGTAAATTTTCAGATGCTCACTTGTTAACAGCTTCTATGTACTGGACTGTATTAGGTTCATCCAGCATGACTCCCTGCTCTCTACTGTACCCTTTGGCTACATTTGTTGGCTCATATTTTTTCTTTCCCTTCATTATTAAATGGTTATTATTCTAAAAGTAAATCAACATCAGTACAGTATTCTTTTCAATCTTAATTTGCCAATTTATAAACTTTGTAGGACACTAACAGTATTTTGTTCTTTATATGTGACAGGTACAAGATCTGGAAGTTCAGTTTAAGACAGCCATCAGACACAAGAAACACTCAGCCCGCTACAATCTCCGCCAGAAACTTGCGGTGATTATGGGTCTGAAAATTGTCTACCTCAATTATTGCTCTGTTAAATCTCTGGAGCTGGAACGCATCACCCAGAAAATCCGATCCTCTACTGGCAGGGAGGAAGAAGCAATGGATACTGACTCCAATGAGGAACCTAACTTGTCCATCTTGGAGATGTAGAGTGATGGAGAACACAAAACATTAAGTGCGTAGGATAATAATATCAGTTTATGTAGTATTTGCCTAATTTTAGAGGAGCATGGTCTTTGTATGACAAGATACTTCAATGAGCATTTTGGACTTTTATTTTTGTTGCAGTATTTGTTGTCATGATGGATGATCATTTTGTGAACGCTTCTCTAGAAGAACGCCATATATAAACAGTCACCTCGACAATCTTTATATTTCTTGAATGTAAAAAACAGGTGGTTTACCAATATGGTCGAGTCGGACAGTGATTACGAAGAGGAGGAAACTCTAGTTATGGTGGAGTTACACGGGGTTATTGACTCAGAGATATTTGCACAAGATTCTTTCGAGAAGTTCAAGATACTAGCCTTAGATTCTGTGCGGCCCATTTTACAGGTAGAAAACTTTATGTTTTCTGGTGAATATGAACACACAATGGGGACAGCTGTGTTCTTTGAAGAGGAAGATAAAAGGGTGAAAAAATGTGACCCTGTGTTTTGCAAGAAGCCATCAAGAATGCTCAAATATGTATGCAAGACTAATAAAAAGCTCACAATGAAGCGAGTATTTATATCTGAGAAGCAAGCTGGAGACACTGGCAACTTGAAAACAGAACACGTAGATAATGGTGAGTCACTTGGTGAGGGAGCCAGCATTATTGTGAGTGATGCCTCATTAACTGATGACAGTCATGTGAATGAAGAAGCCTGTATGAGTGATCCATTACTGCTGGGAGACCTGAGTGCTTGTAATGTTGACAAAGCTGTCCCTGCAGGTGACTCCACGTCAGTGGATGACCCAGGGAATACAGAGAATAATGAAGGTGCAATCTAGAATAATTCAAGTTTAAATCTCGTCAGTTTTCTTGCGTTTAATAGACTTAAGTACAATAAGCATAATTTGTGACTCAAATTACCGTAACTTCTTATTCATGTACTCAAACCACATATTGTATTGTAAATAATGCAGTTAGGATTAAAGATTTTTTTCATTTTGTTGGAATCTAAAATTGCATATAGAATTTAGAATGGTTGAATATTCTTCAGGTATTATTTTTTTAAGGTAAAATTCATGGTGCAGAGCTGAGCCTCTTAAGGAGGTATAAACAAGTAATAAGTCAATAGAAAATAGATGTGTTGGAACACCACAACCTCTACAGTATGATATACTGTTTTAGATTTTGAAATTGATGAAAGGTGCTCCGTTTGGTTTGTTTGTAGTACTGTAATACACTAACAATAAATTATTTTGTTTTCTGGGCATTTTCTCATTCATCAAAGATCTGCACCAATGAAGTTGTAACAAATATATGTTATGGAATATGCTCATTTAAATCTATTTTATTTTCACTTAAGAAAAGAGTGACCCAATGTGAATTTTGATCTTTAAATATAAAATGTAAAAAAAAAATTGTTTGTTCATCTCTTCCCATGAATTATAAGTGTGTATCTTTTGGGAATGGTTTCAGACTACAAACAGTAGACTATTAAGAATCGGTAGTTTTGAACTGATTGCCGAGTGCCCAAGCTTATCAATATAATTCTAATTGTTCTTACAACATCTTCCTCTGTTAGATAATAGAAAGGTCAGTCCTCCTTTATTGTACTGTACTCAAATCTCAATTTTGGTTATGGTAATTTATAACTCTCAAACTGTCTCTTTTTTTTTTTTAAAGACTTTTGTAAGCTCTGGACCCTTTGATCCCCAGCATCATTCAGGCCAGCTACCTAATTTTTAAGTGAAAATCCAGAACCAGGAACATTAGTATATGTGTCAACCTTACTCACTAATTTCTAGCTTCCTTGAGAACCGATCCATGGCAGTTGTTGTCGAGGGATCTATCGCTCGCTTTTTCTCTACCAATAGTAGTGTTCCACAGAGTTCTGTTCTTTCACCTACTCTCTTCCTTCTTTTTATCAATGATTTACTTCGCACTACAACTAATTCTATCCATTCTTACGTTGATGATTCTTCTCTTCATTCTTCTTTACATTTTTCCCTTTCCCCTAACTCTCAAACTAGAGCTGTTTCTAGAGCTGATATAGTTTCATCTATCAATGCGGATCTGTGCAGCATTTCCGAATGGGGAGATAGAAACTTGGTTAAATTTAATAGTACTAAAACACAGTATTTAGCAAATACACTTTCCAAAATAGAAGATATACACCAATCACATTTCAGGACAATCATTCTGCCAAACTATATAAAGATATGTTAGACCTCAACATTTCCTATAATATGTCATGGAAGCCACACATCCACAACATTGCTAAAGCTGCCTCCCAAAAGCTGGGAATGCTGTACAGATGCTGTAGCTACTTCACTCCTGAGCAGTTGCTTCAAGTTTATAAGGGATTCATTGCTCTCATATCTGGAGTGGTGCTTCTTCTGTCCAACTTTTAGATAGGGTGGAATCAAAGGCATTTCGTCTTATTAACTCTCCTCCTTTAGTTGATAATCTCTTCCCTTTCTCTTTGCTGCACTTTTTCTTCACTCTCTCTCTCTTTTACATGTAGCTGTACTGTACTTTCATGGGCAATGGTCAGTGGATTTGGCATCCTGTATACCTGCGGCAAGGCAATGGGCTCGCAACACTCGTCTTGCCCGCGGTGCCCACCGTTTCAGTGTGTATGTCGGTCACACTAGAATAACCTGTTACAGTACATCCTTCTTTCCTCACACAGCCAAACTGTGGAATGCTCTGCCTTCTTCTGTGTTTCCACACTTACAGTCTGTTTTGCTACAAAAAGCTGGTTTTCTGGCATCTTTGTGGTGAAGATTATTACAGTCTTTTTCTCTTCTATTTTTAATTTATTTTTGCTCTTATTTTTTCGCCCCACAGGCCCCATTGTGGGTCGATGAACTGTGCCCAGGTGGGCTATTCCCCGTAGAAAAAAAAATGAGATAGAGGAGCGAGGGTCATAGAGCTTCACTCATCTTGTGACGGTGTGACCACAAAAGAATAGCCTCCAGGCTGCCATTTCACTACAGACAGTAATCATTTGCCAAGTGCCAGGGTTATTTGGTAAGGGCTGGGTATAATGGCAGAAAAGGGGCATGAAGTCCAGATATCCTTGGAGGAAGTGACCCCTGACAGACATACCTTAAGTAGGTAGTAGGCAGCTATCAAACAGGGAGGTACTACCGCCTGGAAGCATAATGTGTTGTCTAATGGTAGACCCTGCTGCCATATGGCATCACAAAACTCTTGACCAAGTCCAAGGTTGCTGATCTGTACTGTATAACATATATCCAGTATTTATTTATAACCTTGAGTTGCACATCAAGATCAAGTATATTATATATTTTTTTTACGGGGATTAGCTCACCCGAGCACAGGTCACTGACCCACATCAGGGCCTGGGGGACCAAAATATAACAATACTGTAATAATAATATTTAATAATACTGTATTACTAAAAATATTTAAAAATTATAACCAAAAAATAAAAATATTAATAATAACCATAAATAAATACACAAACAAAAAATAAATCAAGAGTGAGAAACAATATGTATACGTGTCTTGTCAATAGTAAGAGAAACAATGAATTGAAAACTTGCAATTGTGTGAAAGTGAGGCAGAAAGAACTGCACTAAAACGAGATAAGAAGATCCTGGGTTGGGAAAGAGTGGTAGATGAATGGGACAACAGGATTTCAAGCAATATAATTAGTACGAACACTTTAAACAGTTTTAAAACTAGATTAAGCAAACATGGTGGAAAAGGTAAGGTTCTGGGATCTAATGTTAATATTATGAGTTAATTTACTTCTTGGGTCGATTGATGAGACCACACAGCGGCTGCCAACGGTATTAGAAGGACTCAGGTCAGCTTAGGTTCTTCACTTGATCACCATGACCCAGCACTCAGGTAATGCAGTCAGGTCACGGTGAGGTTAGCTCCTAACCTAACCTAACCTAACCAATTCTATATTGTAACTACATACATAGTGCTTTTGTTTTATTTTCTCTTTAATAAATTTATTGTGCTTATGTTGTATTTTTATGTACTAAATTGCAAAATACATCACACTCATTAGTTGACTTAAGGCACCAAAGCTAGTGAGGGAAAGCAATTCATCAGTCAGAACAGGATTGGGGTTGATTCTTCAGTAAGCTACAGGGAGGGGCGGGGGGGAATCATCATATCATCCCTGTACATTTCTGGATGAATAAACTGTTTCAATATTACTAAATCATTTAGCTGATAACACTAATAGTGAGCTGAAGCTGGTGATGAACAAGAGATACGTGGCGGTGGACATCAGTAGTCACGAAAAGATTGTCCCCTCCCACCCAACACCCACCCTATACCACCTGAAGATTACCCCCCCCCCCCTCACTGTATATTATAGTGGATTTCTCCCCTACAAATGCTGTTTGTCGCTGAGTAGCCGACCCCGCGAATTCCCCAGTGTATGCCTCGTGGTCTGGGTCAACCAGCGCCGCCTTACAAGAAGGAGGTCAACTACTAAGCCACGCCTACCTCCGCTATTTAAGACCTGACCTCGTGGTGACCTCTCTCTTCTTCTACCTACACCAACCAGCGAGCAACACCTCCTCCTCCTCCGCTGCCTGGCGGCCCTCGCTCCCGCCGGCGAGCATGGCGACCCACAAGCTGTCCTCCTCTGAGCACCCTCACCAACCAGCTCTCTCTACATCACGCTTGTAACCACGCTGCCACTTCCCAGCACCAAGTTGCATTGTACATCCAATACAACATGTATACAGAGAGCACATTGTGAGTTTCCTTTCTCCATCCCATCCTGAGTGTGAACCAAAACCCGTACCCCACCACAATACCACTTGAATTTTAACCACCCCGACACAACCTACTATAATCTCATGTGATCCACAGTTATTATTATTTTTTAACAGGGATTAGCCCACCTGGGCACAGGTCACTGACCCACATCGGGGCTTGGAGGCAAAATGTAATAATAATAATAATAATAATAAATAAATTAATAAATAATATATATATATATATATATATATATATATATATATATATATATATATATATATATATATATATATATATATATATATATATATATATATATATATATATATATATGTGTGTGTGTGTGTGTTGTGTTGTCAAATGTAAGTGAAACAATTGAGACTGCAATTGTGTGTAAATGAGGCAGAGTCAGTCAGCAAACTAAGACTTGGTCACAATTTCGTGATGCCATACGGCAGCAGGGTCTACCATTAGACAACACACATGCTTCCAATATCTTCCCAGGCGGTAGTACCTCCCTGTTTGGTAGCTGCCTACTACCTCGTGACAATAACAACTATTATGACAATGTATAACACTGCATTACAGAGATAAGAATTTTTATCTGTATATAAACACCCTGAACCACTATCTTTACTATAACAACATATTGTTATCAGATGAGTGATGATAGTAAAAAAGACAATATGTTTTTTTAACGACGTCCATAGTATTTCATTAAACCTCGTAATCAGAAAAAAAATACACCGGAAAACAGTCAAAAATAGAAGAATTCTAAGACGTGTTACAAGAGGGAGAAATTGTAAGGAAATTTAGACCAAAAATCTATCTTTTTCACTTGATTTCTCCGACACCTTCCTCTCATATCCCGAGTTCTCATTGGTCGATTTCTTGGTTGCCTTGCTCTTCCTCAATTCCAGAATTTCATTGGTTGAATCCGGGTCGACCAACTTTATTCTCGAGTTATCATTGGTGTAGCTGGGCTGCCTGGATACAATTCCTGAGTTGTAATTGGTGGAGATGGTCATTCCTAAACGTTGTGAATACGAAAGAGCCACAAAATGAATTTCGTTAACTACTTCTTGGTACTGTATATTGTATTGTTGAGTTATTGAAATATTAACTAATTTGTTTTACTATTTGTATACTACGATTGTATCACTGTATCCTTGAGTTGTCATTGGTGTACCAGGATGGCCTCCCTTCCTTTCTCGAGTTATCATTCGTTTAGCGGAACTCCCTCGCTGTAATCCTTGAGTTATGATTGGTGGAGTTGGGTGAGGCCCGACCAGTAATATTTAAGGTGCGCACCGCGTCATGTATCAGTTGCGCGTTGGACACAGTAGTGAACGGACGTGACGCGGATAGTGTGTGAGTGAGTCGGAGTGGAAGAGATGGTTGCCTAGTAGTGTTAAGAGACACTTTGGGAATTGTTACAAGAAAATATAATACACCATGCCGGGGCCGGACACATCAGAAGTGGCGGAAGAGTACCGGTCGTCCCTGAAGGATTTGACCATCAACTCTAAGCCACTTATTACCATGTTAACAATGCTGGCTGATGAAAATAGACCCCACGCCGCCATCATTGTTAAAGTCATCGAGGAACATATCCATGAGGTGCGTCCCCCCATATTGTTGCCTTTTCCTTCCTGGTGCTCTCCCCTTCACCTGCTGTAATGTGAGGCACGGGAGAGGTGAAGGTGTCTGGCTCTAGGGTGAAGGGTTAGAGTAGTAAAGGTTGTCGATATTGGATTAGAAAACTTGGCAAGTGAATGGGAGTTATTGGTCGCCATCTTAACCCAACATGATGAAATTTAACATCGGGAAAACTTTTTTTTATATCTTTTTGTACCTCTGCTTCGTTAAATTGAACTTACTTCTGTATTTCTTATGCATATTTCTTGTTGATTATGAGGGAACGTGATATGATTTTTAAAATATATTTCTTATACGTTTTGGGAATTGTCTCACGTCAAAATGTGTCCTTATTTCGTGGCTGAACTCTGAGAATGAGAAGCATAAACCAGATTAAATTATATTAGTTATGCTGAACCTGTACCATGACTGGTCGCTAAATGAGGTTGCCTGCAGTTATTATAATGCTTGGGTACATGTGTGGCGTGACTTGGCTGTCTTGAGTAATACATTATTTTCATCCGGTTTCTTACAAAAATAAGTGGGTAAATGAAAACCGGTTTATGGAGCAAAGAAAATACGTTCAATATAGGCAGCAGATATTGTGCCGTCACGGGCTAAGTTTCCACTGACACTATTTTACCGTGAGTTCGCTTTGAGTGGTTAATCGTTCATTACCTGCGAACAAGGCGAGAACTATATTTGACCCTGACTGGCAGCATTTATTTCGCCGTGAGTCGCTCGTCGTGTAGCTGTAAACATACCTAACTATTTCGGTTGTTCTTGGAAACTTAAAATTAAAAAAAGAGGCGACATTTACTAGAACCTGACCATCCCAGAAAACCTACCAAACTTCTGGGGGGGGGGCGGAGGCGACCACTTCGTCATATTAAACATGAAGTACTTGGCCAATAAGAGCGCACTCCGGTAAAATAGCGTTAGTAGGAACTTAGCCGGTCACGGCAAAATATCCACTACGCTCAATAAATATTAATGAAAATGGGAAGTAGGCTTTAGTGTTTGCAAATTTATATGGTAAATATTCCGCAAACACCGGCATATGATTTAGTCATGAGAAACATATTAAATGCAGTTTTTTATGGTGAATACAGTGGTGGTATGGAAAGTTTGGGAGCCTGCACAGATAATTATTGAGTTGTGACTCCGGGTCCGACTAATTACCCAAATGTACCCGCAATGAAGTCAAATAATGGTCCTACATGAATAAATCGGACTGCCAATCACTTCTCGACTATTATTTGGTGTCACAGTAAAAAAAATTTGGAAAACGTAATTTAATCTTGAGTTAATAGATCGAGTGCATGTACCTAACCTAACCTAACACAACTCAGATTAAATTTAGTTAACCAATTTTTTGTGACTTTGTGACATCAAATACTAGTCGAGAAGTGATTGGCAGTCCGATTTATTCATGTAGGACTATTATTTGACTTCATTGCGGGTACATTTGGGTACATTTGGGTAATTAGTCGGACCGGTGACCCCTCCTACCCTGTCACTTCACCCCACCGAAGGTAGACAGGACTTGGGAGCAGAGGGAAAGTGTGGGGGTAAAACACATTATAGAACCTAACCTGATGTCTGGTCAGTGTGCTGTAAGACCTACTGGGTAATTATTCCACAATCACTAGCATACAATTTAGGCATATGAGACTGCTTGAGGAATAATAGCGAACGCATAACAATGGTTTAAAATTATACAAATTTAGATTTGGGAGCGAAATAGGTAAACGTTGGTTTGGAAATATAGTGGACGAGTGGAACAAGTTACCAAATATCAACTCAAATACGTTGGATAGCTTCAAACGTAGGTTGGATGGATATACAGTATGAGCAATAGGGTTTGGGTGTAAATGGGACTGCCCGGTATGGGCCAATAGGCCCGCTTCAGTTTCTTCCATTCTTATGTTCTTATTACCTTGAGAGGTACATGCAGTCATTATTAGTCTCTGGGTCATACTAAAATCAGAAGGTCTTTGATTATGCTCAGATATGTTACAGGAATACCAGACCACTGCACACCCTCAGCACATACCTGAAAACGGTCAATTTTACCTTTTGACCAAAATGTTTTTCCAGTGTATTTTTGTGTTTTAAATGAATTTTACCTTCATTTTTGGCGGATTTTGCTTGTTCGCCCCCACCCCCTATTAATAATGGGGGGGGGGGGAGAGCCTGGGAAATCGTTTTTATTTTGGGTGGGGGAGAAAACGAAAACCAGTCATAAAACCTAACCTAACCCCTAGCTGGGGGCTCTGCTCCCGAACTTCCGGTAGGCCTACCTTAAACTAATCTAAATGTTTCAGTTGTTAGAAACTTTGGGGCGCGCTGTGTCCGAAAGTACAATACTGTACCGTAGTTCTAAGTGAAAGGACCAAGGATATGTAACAATTGGATAGAATGATTGTCTTTCTCGTAAAACTCGGCAATAAACTTAAAATATTCGTAGGACCACAAATGACAACCAACCTCCACCACGGCCATTGTGAGACTGGTCAATGAAATTACACAGGCTGCTTCCTTTGAAAAAAAATCAAATGTGATTGGCCCAAAAAAATTCGTGTGATGATATCGATACTTCATTGGTCACGACTGGATGACGTCAGTAAATATTACACGTGTGATGCGCCAATAACACTTCACAAAGACTAAAAACTACGTAAAATTGATTAAATTCAACTGTCGCTATTATCCATTTCTGCCATGTATATATTCAACACCAGCAAGTGCAGCGTACTTAATATTGGAAGAACAAATACTCAATGTGTACAGCCTTAACAACATCAAACTAGAGAAGTCGACTTGTGAAAGCGACTTACTGGCACTCGTAAGCCCGGACCTTCGGCCTAGAAAACAGTGCGTTAATGTTCAAAATATGGCAAACAGAGTAATTAGGTTTTATACCAAGAAGTGTAACTCAACAGAGTGCGGAGGTCATGTTGCAATTATATCTTGCGCTAGTCAGGCTGCACCTCGATTATGCTGTTCATTTCTGGTGCCCTTATAGATTGGATATCAGATCACTGGAGTTGGTGCAGCGAAGAATGACGAAAATGATTCCAGGACTTAGAAACCTTCCATATCAAGATAGATTAAAGAAATTAAATTTGCATTCCCTAGGAAGACGAAGAGTGCGGGGAGATATGATAGAAGTATTTAAGTGGCTGAAAGGAATCAATAAAGGGGATATAAAGTTCTTATAATATCCGAGCAGGATAGGACTCATTAGCAACGGAATTAAGTTGGATAAGTTTAGGTTTAGGAGGGAGATGGGAAGAAACTCGTTCACAAATAGGGTGGTGGACGAGTGGAACAAGCTTAGCAACTTTGTAGTAAGTGCTGGGACGCTGGACAGTTTTAAAAGGAGGCTAGATAGATTCAAGGATGATAGAGAGTGGTTGTGACTCTCGACAGGAACCCAATTGGCCTATTGCAGACTTCTTATTTTCTTAGGTAATTTATGGTCTTATTTGGGGTTCAAAATGCTCAGAATAGTGATGTCTAAATGTTTCGGTAGTTTATAACTCGAGGGCGTTATGTCCTAGAGTGAAATAATACCCTGAAAACATTTGTCTGTAGAAAATAAAAGATGTCATACCTTGTGCAAATGACAAAAAGTGCACAAGGAATATGTTTGGTGTAATAGCTATCACCGTTACGATTGTTTTCTTGTGGGTGGCGAGGGAGACGAACTCATTTTCTAGAGGTCTCAAAGTTTTTATCTTCTGTGCAATAGGGGTTGGGTGTAAATGGGACTGCCCAGTATGGGCCAATAGGCCTGCTGCATTTTCCTCCATTCTTCTGTTCTTATGTCTTTAAGTTAGTGCTAAAGGGGTGCAATGTGGTGATTGAGTATTGGCCACCTTATAACCTGTTTATATGGTGCCCGTGCTTCACTGTTATGATTTCGTGCACTTTACTAACCACCGGTGTGCGTGCAGATGAAGGGGAAGATGGTGATCCCCAGTGCTTTGTTTATGTTCTTTTTGATATTGGAATCTGGCCAATTATTTTTTTTTTGAACTGCAGCTTTTTTTTTTATTTATCCTGTCCTTATGTCACGCCCAAATATGGGAAGCATGTTTGTATTATTTTTCATCATTAACCATAGCTCAGGAACAGCAGAGTGGGGCAGGGGGGGTATAGTTATATCACTAAAAAAAAAATCTTATTTATTTATGATGGGATTCTAAGAATGATCATAGTTCTCATCGCACACATGGCCCAAACCTAAAATTGTACCATACTGCACATTATGAACAATAACTGGCGCCCATAATGAGAATAGCTACACAGCAGGATTCTCTTAACACTCTAGAACCCAATTTTGGTCTAGCTGGGGACATTGTAGGAAGTTCTAATGTGGTGCACATTATTGGAATGCACGGGGCAATTTCAGAATTTACTAGATTCCATTATCATTGTATAAAAGTTCAGCTTGTGGTCATAAGGCCAAAGCTTATGTCTTATCAGGATAGATTGCCACAAAACCATGCAAGGAATTCATAGCAAAATTGTTCCTAACCTATCTCATTGTATTCATTATCCTGTTTGCTTAATCAGATTTGCCACAATGTAAATAGGCCTACACAGCCTGCTTCTCAAAGCGGTCGTGATTCTTTTAATGCATGGGATGATTCAGAATTGACAAGATTCCGGTAGTGTATATTGTACAGAACATTTTACATACCATACCCATCTTGACTATTAAAACACATTGTAGTGCTGTAACTCCTCTTGTAAAGGTTTGAATTGTTGAGCTACCTAACATCAAGAGAATTATATAAATCAAATACAGTGCAGTACATACTCGTATTTAATATCGCAATTCAACCTTATACCAGTTATTGACATGATTCATATACTACTGTATCAGTGGTTTATATACAGTACTGTACTGTATATGTTATGTGCATCTTAAATTCTGTATCATAAATTAATCCACTTTTTGAATAGTTTTATGGTCAGTTTTACTCATTGTACCCACGATAGTCCAGCCAGTGGACCACTTCACCTTCGGGCATTTTTTATTCTATTTGACAAAAACAGTTCCAGACCCCCCCCCCCCCCCATCCCCCATAGAGTATGTATATAAGTACCACATTGCCCCTGCACAAGTTATTTTCACCCTTAACCTTTCTCTCTGTCTTGAGGTCTGGTCTTGGATGCTTGTATCTGTAATCTGGATTTATATTTATCTTGCCTTGCAAATTTAAAAATGTTTTACTCGTGCAATTTCGTCACACCCGGGTCTTGCGTTTTGAATGGATATTTTGACTCCTTTAAATTTTGAAAAATTCAAAATGCCTCGTACTATTGTCTCCCAGCATGGTGGCCATTGTCTCTTGTTGGTAATAATTCATGATAAACCATCTCCAAACCGTTCGATTTTCATTGCATTTGACCTCGGTGTTACCTAATCCTACTTTGTTCCTTTTTAAATCTGTTAAAGTTGGACTATTTTATTCAGCACAGAGGAGATCCCTTACAATAGTGTTTAAAGCACTGGGAAACAATTATACGAATGTATATGTAGCCCCCCTCTGCTGCTTATTTAATACTGTACTGTATATACACACCTTAATGCTAACTTAGAACCTACCTTACCATATTAAACTAACACCCAGATAATGAGGTATAGGCAAAGTAAAAGTGCCTTTATTATAGCATCATTATTAAGACCTTTACTCATTACAGGTGAGTGTGTGTAAATGTGGGGTGGTGTGAAGTAGTCAGTCATCCAACTTTCACTTCCTCAATACCGGCTTTCCCTCCCTCACTCACTCTCCTCACTCACTAGTATATATTTCTCTTCCCTTGCTAAATCTACCTCACTATCCTCTCACTCGCCCTCTTCTCTCACTCATGTCTCACTTTCCTCTTTTACTGATAATGATTATTTAAAATGTATAGCACATGTATTTGGTTAGAAATTTGGTTCTACTGTGCAGTACTGTACTGTGAGTACAAAATGTAAAAGATTGTGAATTCAGGGTGTGTACAGGTATTAAACATAATTGCAAGGAAGAGTATGTTATTGGCTTGACATACTGTATTGTACAATCATGTTGATTTGAGTTTCCTGGTACAGTATTTACATAGTATTTCATAATGTTTAATTACTGTCATTGTCTCTGATAGTGTATGTTGCTATTTTGGTATGGTGCAAGTTTACACATTCAATAAACAGTATTCCAGTAGTTATAGTTTTGTAATGCATGGGTACGGTCATTGTGGGGGTGGTCCAATTCAACTATATATTTCAAAGGCCTTGTAGGAGGGTGTAAGGAGATAGTCGTAGCTACTTGCTTCAAGTCAAGTGCTGTGGGGACTGAGGATTGCTTTAATGGTAGCTACTCTATGTTGAACAAGCCTTCAACAGCTGCATTACTGTATATAAATTGTTTTGATACAAAAGGGATTACTGTAGGGCTATGATGTTCTGGATACCGTACTTTTAAGTTTTGAGTTCTGGGTGTTGGTGAGGCCGCATCCAGGTGTGTTAGAGAGACATGTTGTGTACATGTATGTTAATGAAGTGCAGTCCAGCAGTTTACCTGAGTGAAGCAGTAACATTAGAACACCCAAAAGGCCAATTGAAAGAAAGGTTGATAATTTAATATTTGAGAAGATCAGTTGGAAAAATTACAGTGTGAGAGAAGATCGGGAAGGTAGACACAGCAGTGATGCTGAGTGACCAAAGATGAAGTAGACATTACTGTCGCACTCACTGTGATTAGAGTCGTACAGGCTGAGGTGGTCTGCTTGGTATTATCACCAGAACAAAGATAAAATGTTGAAGAAACAATAATAGATTCACACACACTCTCACTACTTGGAACACACACTTTTGTTTGAAAAATAGTAAATGTTTATTTCCTGTACCATAATTGCTGAAATTCGTGTCTTCCATTTGTTCTGTATTTAGAGGATATAAAAAGAGGATATAAAAAGACTCCTGTTTTATATGTAAAAAAATTAGGTTAAAAAACAACAAATCATTGTGGAGATATTTAGCATGTATTATTGTGGAGATATTTAACATGTATTTATATATTAATGAGGGTGTGGGAGGTTCACACTGTGGAAAGAAAAAGAAACTTGATTTATACTTTTTTTTTTACACGGGGATTAGCCCACCTGGGCACAGGTCACTCACCCACATCGGGGCCTGGGGGGGGAATGTAGTAGTAATAATAATGATAATAAAGAACCATAAAGAAATGCAAAAATGAAAAAAAATCAAGTGAGAAACAATATATATATATATATAATATATATATATATATATATATATATATATATATATATATATATATATATATATATATATATATATATATATATATATATATATATATATATATATATATATATATATATATATTTTGTCAATAGTAAGTGAAACAATTGAGACCCTGCAGGGTCTACCATTAGACAACAAATTATGCTTCCAATATCTTCCCAGGCGGTAGTACCTCCCTGTTTGGTAGAAATAAAAATTTAGATGTTATTTTTTCCACTTAGAGGAAACATTAGTGATGTTTGGCTTCATCCGGTAAACATTGTCAGCTGTTCTTTGACTCTAGCAAATGTACCAACTGGTTAATAGTAGACAATGTTTCCAAACTGTACTGTATAATACTGACTGAGTCTGCTAGTGGTATACCATGTACTGTTATTAGGAATATTCTGTAGCTATTGAGAAGTCCATTATTGGGTGGGTTTACACTATTTACCTAAGTTTCACCCAATGTGACCAAAATAATGTAAGGGCGACAAGATCTCACTAATGGGGTGTTCAGCTATTGTCCGACAGATGAGTTAGCCAGCCATAAAGGATTAATAAGTATGCAGCTACAGTATTGAGCATAGTACTGTATGATATATTAAAGTTGACGAGTGGTGTAGTGTCAGGACTCTGTAGCGGTGAATTGTCCAGAAATGGTTGACCGACAACACATACATATGTCAAACAGTTTGACTTTTTGTTTATTGTACTACAGTATATCACTTTGCACCTGTTCAATATTACACACTGACATAAGTAGCACATGTTGTCTTTATTAAACTGTCACTGTATATAAGTGGTTACCTATTAAATCTAGTGCAGCAAGCGAGGGTGGGAGCAGCTGAGGCAGAACTGGGTGGTGTGGTGTAGCCCCTGTGGGTTGGAGGGGTGGAATGAAATGGGAATAGGTTTTAATCCTTTGTTATTCTGTATTTTGTGTACGGTATGTCAAAAATTAGCTAACAATAACTGCTATAATAAACTATGAAAATATTAGCCGAGGTATGCAGTATAGCACATCATAACCTACAATACTGTTATACAGTACAGTGGGCAACAGTGTTCAAGCCACTCAGTGTGTGTGTGGCTGCTGCATTGTATGTATGCCGTGACATCACATTGGGGGAGCCAGTGCATTACTGGGCTGGTGATGTAGATTTCGTGTTATAAGTGAAAATTATTATTATTTTAACCTTAGCTGAAGTTAAATTAAACATAATTTAGCAATCTTTGGCAAAGAGGATAAAGTAAACTTACCGGTACAGCTCCTCCCTGACTTACGACGGGGTTAGGGACCCAAATCCAGGTTGTAAGTCGAAAAGGCTTAAATAATATATAGAAAATCTAAAATGGGTGTCTCTGTTTCTTCTCAGCACCACAAAACTCTCACTTTTAAGCTTGCCAGCCATTTTAAAGTGAATTACAAACGAAAATTTTGTCTGTGTACTGACGGGACTCGAAAATAAGTAATTTGACAAAATTTTGGTACGACTGAGGCAGGTCGTAAGTGTGGGTGGTCGTAAGTCGGGGAGGAGCTGTACTGTATATGAGAGGAGGTTGGGAGGTGCACAAGTTTAATATGAAACATGCCTAACGTGTTGAGTTTGTCAGATGCACTGTTGACAAACCGCCCACTGCCTCCACACACAATACACACCCATGCTCTTATTTTATTTTTTTCACATTATACCTGTACAGGCATTTTCTTTATTTCTGAGTCACAGAGTATTGAAATTATTTTTCCACTTTTTATTTTACAGTTTTATTACATGTAACAATGGCAACATGTATAGCCATCTTTCTCTACAGTAGGTGTATTGCCAGAAGCTTCTTTTCTCCCCTTGTATCACACCAGTCTAGTTATAGTTTGGATATACTGTACGGTATTTTACAGTGAAACCATAAAACGGGCTTCTCTTACCAATAATCCCTTATCTAATGGACCCTGGATATGACAAACTTTCATCTCTTTATACAGTAGTTGGTTAGATGAGGTTTCACTGTTCACTACTGTATTACCTGGCTAGTGTAGTGGTACCATAGCTACTGAGAGTTGAGAAAAGGATGGCAAAGTACCATAATAACTCCCAATGTTTTCCTCCCTGCAGGTGTCTGGGCCTCAGAAGCTGCCAGTCATGTACTTGATTGACTCCATCATGAAGAATGTTGGTCAGGATTATATCAAGATGTTTGGACACAACATTATCAGCACATTTAGTTGTGTCTTTGAAAAGGTAAGTTGAATGGCTATCCTGTATACAGTGTAGTAGTACTGTAAACCAAGTTCCCAGATCACAGTTTGGGGGCCATATGCAGTTCTTGAACTCTTTTTGTGGCCTTTGATCCTTTCTGGAGAAGGCTGCTGGTATTTACACAGTCACTAGTTTTTTTTTTAATTTAAGTGATGTATAAAATATTTTATTGATATCATCACATTTAAGGGTAATATTACTCATGTTTAAATAGATTAGATTAGTGAGAAACTAATTTATTGGCTTTTCCATTTCAAAATGGAGCCCTCATCACACATTTGATCATTCATTGTGGCCCACTTGCATAAAAATGTTGTTGGGGACCACTGCAGTAAACCCATAGACATAGACGTTGTATACATTTAATAATTCAGACATTGTGTTAACCCATTCACACTACTGTACTGTTTGTTCTTCCTGAAGGAAGTATTTGTTTCTCTAGGAATGTACAGTGTAGAAAAAGGTTTTCAGAAACCACAATTTAAAAAATTGGAGAATGCCTGTACTCTACTATATACATTGTTCATTGGTTTTGTCGAATAATTTTTCAGGACTGATTATTGTATAGTATCTGTATAATATTGTATTGACAAAAAGACTTTTAATATAATCTACTACTTTCTTTTTTCGTAGGTTGATGAAAGAACAAGGAAAAAACTTTATGAGTTGAGACACACATGGAATGAAGTGTTCCCAAAGTCTCGGCTGTATGGACTAGACGTCAAAGTACAGTCACTAGACCCAGCCTGGCCCTTGCCCACAGGTCCAGCAATAACATCCCAGACCTCCAGTAAGCCCAACATACACATCAACCCCAACATCATTAAGGTGAGAAGCTTCCTGTTGATGTATTTGGGGCATTGTAAGTGTAAGGACTGAGCTTAATGAAGGTATGGATGAAAATTGTGTAAGTGAATCAACACAGCAGGTCATTATGAGGCAGGTGTAGATGTTATGTTATGTAAATAACTATACCTGTAGTCAAGAGGTTAGAAGTGTAGTGCAGTTGAGTATGTGTAGGTATGGTATATGATGTACATTTTGTAAGTGATAAAAGTAGAAAAGAGTGTCTTCAAAGCATGACTCATTACATCCTGGTAGACTAACACAGGCAGAAGTACTATGGTGATGGGCAACAAACAATGAGAATATGGATCGAATATCAAGGTCGTTAGAACAGAGTTTGATGGTTATAAACTTGCTTAAAGTGATGCATGCATATTTATTATGTAAACCAAATGGCGTCGTGAATTTCAGAACGAACACCGACTCCTGTTGTCTTGGTAGGGTTGTCAAAGTCTTTCGTCCGTAGTGTCATATTGTCTCACACAATTGTGGTATACTCCCCTTTTGGTTTTGTTTAAATCCTGCCCAGCATTGTGTTTTGTTGTCAACTTATCTTTAAACACCTTCATATTTTGTTCATTTATTTCAGTGATTTATTTAGTGATACATGTAATTTATAATATGGATTTACAGTTTTCTCACTATGTATTCAGTGTGAGAATTATTTGTTGGAGAGATACATTCATTGACTTTGTTTATAAATGGCTTCTCAAATGGAGCAACAAATTCAGAATACAGTACAGTACTGTATTTTGCGAAATAAGAAATGCAGTACAATACTTAAATTTGCAATATTTCGTGTTCATTACAGTAATTGGGAATCCTCCCAAATTTGATAAAGCTTGAACCCATTATTGCAAATTAAGGAGGGATTGTTTTGTGTAAAAATTTTTTATAGTTCAGCTATTTAGTGGAATATATTGACATAAGCAAAACTAAAGACGTCTAAGAAACAAGTCTTGTCTTTAATTTAAGTATAATGGATATCACTAAAGTAAATTAGTGAAAGTACACTACAGTATATGTCTGCTGGATATACTGTATTACAATGTTAAGTGTCTGCTTAAGAGACTTGACAACTATAAATCACTTGACTATATCCAGATGTGTTTGGGTCTGTCAGTAGACCCATCTGTATTTATGAATCGCCATAAATCCTTTATTTTAAAATCGTAAAGATGAAGTTTGTTAGGATTCTTGGTGGTAAGTTGTGAGGTTGGGCTGATCTTTTATTAGTCTGTGTTCAGAATAGTGAGGCACTTTCAGTCATATTTAAATATAATACAGTATACTGTGTGAGTGTACGTACAGTCATGTGGACATAACCAGTCGAGGTTATTTGTACAGTATCACATATCAGCTGTGCTATTAATGAAGGCAGTGGACAATAAGTTTACCATTTCATCTTTGGGATAAATGTACAAGATGCACAAACACTCAAGTTCAATACTCTTCAGTATATATAATTGTACGGGGTCAGTCCCATAAAGGAAGCATAAACAATACGATTGTATGTACAGTATACTACCAGGGTAGACTTACACAAATGAAACAGTAAGTTGTGGTCAGGAAGAGAGGTTTGTGAAATGTGTGTATAAGTATACTGAACGTTGACTGGTCTTCCTCAGCCTGGTGTGGTAAAGGGGTCGTCATTAACGTCGTCATCTTCGGGTCACAAGAACAAGAAGGAACTCGAGATCCTCAAACGGGAAGAGCAGATTTTGGAATTAGAGCGACAAAAGTTGATGTTGGAAAAGAAGAAAATACTTTTGGAACAGGTATGCTTTACATGTTGAAGTCATACTCAAAAGTAGTTTCTTTATATCTATAAGGGAATAAGAATAAGAGAAAGTTTAAATCACATAAGTTATCTAAAAGATGTGTGTGGTTTTGGTAACTTTGCTTGACTCAGATATTACAATGCTTTTCTTGCCTTCTCCCAAAATATTGCATGGGAAGAAACCTTCCCCAAAATGACGAAGATATTAATAATAGTCATAGTTTAAGTGATTAATCTGGTCTCATAGTCCGAAGGCCCTCTCCCGTTATGGAGCCAAGAGCAGATACACACTAGTTGAATTTATCCATGCTTCCTCACTGTTTAATACCCCCACTAACCCCCACTCTTGTCTGATGCTGCTTCCTGGATATCCATTCCATTTTCAGAACATACGATGGGTTGATTTTATACCCAGTGTTAAAGTTTTCAGCATAGAATTTCAGTGAAGTGTACAGTATAGTATGGGCATGTATTAGGATTCTACTGATCTTAGTGTTGATCTGAAGTGAGCTGAGGAGATAGGTACACATAGAAAGGATGTGTCTTCTATAGTACCCATATGTTAATGAATTTGGTTTGGTTTTGTAATTGTCAATGTCCATACGTGTTCAGTACAGTATCATTTGAATTGTTAACCTGCTGAGCTAGTAGGTGTAGGTGTACATAAATCCCTTTTTTTTTCCTAGTTTATCCAGTTATCTATAATTCATCCTAGACAAATTTATATTCATAATCATTGTGAATCACATTCAAAGTAGTCATCTGTGTGATTGCTCTTATTTGGGTGAATTATCCACCATTAAGATTTTTTGATAATTGTGATCTTAAATCTCCTTTCTTTTTTTCCCCTGAACAGAGTCGACAATCCAAATCAGAAACTAAGGTGGTGAAGCCAGAGCCCGAGAAACCAATTGTGAGTATCCTTAAAGAAATAGTACCTGTACTTCCTCTTCTTCTCCATTTTGTTATACCTTGCATTAGTTCTTTATCCTTTGTCACACAGAATCTTGGATTTATCTTCATTACTTACATTGTTATTATTTAGTTTTTTTCGTAATGTTCAAGTAAGGCGAAGATTTATTAGTGCCTCTTGTGTTATGAATGTGTGCCATAGTTGTGATGTTGTACTGTAGTGTTTTACTGGGGATCTGTTTATTGATATACATATTTGGGTCAGGAGAGAGAGGAGACATAAGACAGACTTGACCTCTACCAGTGTGTGTGTGTCCCACTGGTAGGGGTCTAGGTACACACAAAACATACATGCACATTTTGTTCACTTAGGATAGTAATGATGCTATTATTTAGTAGTTTGTTTTATCTATGTACAGTATTTTCTCTCATTGTGATACATATATTTTTTCTTGTATTTGTGTGAGAAAAAGATTATTTTTATAAAGAATGTTAACTTTATTGAGGGACTAAGAATGTTTAGGGTTGACTTCCAGGTTGCTGTAACAGACTACCTATCCTACACCTTTGGATGGACTGTAGAATAGGTTGAGAGAAAATATTCTTGAATTAATGAAGAAAGTTTTTGAATATTGATGGTCTTTTTATAATTATAATGTGTCAGTTATTCCACTCCCAAGTGAATAAAAAAGGAAACTTCATTACATTACTGGATACGAAGACTTTGTTACTGTGTATAGTAACCACTAGGCCTACGTACAGTACAATATTTTTAAAACCTGGTATGCAGTATCAGGATTGCAGATGATGCTACTGGATGTTAGATAATCTATACCTGAGTAGAGCAAACGTCTTAGAGGGTACTGTCTCGTATATTTATGATGTAGACCATTTCTGGGCGATGGGTACAATACACAAAAGGACCGGACTAATTACTGCACTGGATGGCCCACAGCAACAGAAATTTGTTTATATTTAATCTTTTTGCCACTTATTTCCACCTAAGTTGATTGGCTTATTAGTCATGAATGTCTATCAGACTCAAACTACATGAGAGAGTTATTTTATAGAATGTCAAGAGTTAAGGCTTACCAAAATGTTTAACCCCCTCCCCTTCCTGGTAAAACATTATATTATGCCCCGATGCTTAGTTTTCGCTCTATAACAATATTTCTTGAGAGAATCTCACCGGCATAGGTTTTCATAACTTGGTAATAGCACTGCAAGGTTCATATTTTACAGCTGATCTTGTGGAGGACACACTCACGGAAAATTTTCAATGTTAATTTATCAATATCAGTTTGAGGGACAGTACACGTATAATTGTACTGTAACGGTGTTAGGTTAGGTCGTCGGCTTGAGGGTTACATAATATATTACTGTTTGGTTGGGCTTTTACCTGACCATCATACATGAACTGTGTGAAATTATTTTGCAGTGTTTTTATTATAAGGAAGATGTTAATTGTTAATAATGTTTTTAAAAGGCTTAAGAGAACACCCAAGGGCAGTTTGTGACATTGAAAACATTGTGTGTGTGTTGATAGTGAAGGCCACTAACAGCCGTTCTTTTACCCCTCACCCTCATCTCTTCCTCCCTGCTGCTGGTGTGTAGGCCAAGACCATCGACGACCCCAGTATATCCAGCGAACGCCGCTCCGAATTCCTCCGCTCGTACAAGATAAAGAAAAAGTCACAAAATAAGGAAGAATCACAGGTCCATGTCAACTATTTGTTGCACAAACCCAAATCTTTCTTTTTGCATATACTTGTTATATCCAGAAGAATGGTGTGGGTTTTATTGTCCATCCTGGTGGTAGGATTGTATGAGTAGTTTGCTTTCAGTACCAAGACCAGAAGCTCTCTTGTTGTTGACACTTTGTAGCTAATATATTTGCTCTGTAATTTGTGGAGCTTTGACTGGTAATGTGCTCTCAAGTATTGTATGTGACACTGAATGGCTGTAAGGGGAAGTTTCGTGCTGAATGTTTACAAGTACACTTTGATTTACGATGCATGGAAAACTGTTGTCCAGTAGTGTACCGAATCATTATTAATTGATTCATATTAATCTGTTGGTCACCGTTATATATTGGGAGATACACAACTTAACTAGTGTATATGTGTGCACCTTATTGCCTTCAACTCAACACAGTGATGACTTTGTGGGGTATTTTACCACCTGGGTTATTGCTGCTGGTCATATCACTTGTTGGTCATTTTCCTGATAACTCGAAATTGGATTAGTCACTCTGGAAATAACAAGAAATTGGTGGAGAGTTCTGTCAAAGTGTGGAGTTGTATTCAAAAGATGTGAGTGACCTGTAAACAGTTTTGTTAAACATGCTGTAACCAGTCAAACATTTGTCTTTTGATAGGTTTTTCACCCCAAGTTTATATACAATTAAAATTAAAGAGATTGTAAATACAAATGGAGATGTAAACATTATCATAAATCAAGGTGTACTTGTACAGTACTCTATTTAAAGTATATACTGTACATAGTACATGCATCTAAGGGGTGAACTTAACGGAAAAGTATTTGTGTTATAGTAGTGAATGGTTTTCAAACTACATATTTCCTGTGGCAGCATTTGATCTGTAGTGAGTTTGTCTGACTTGTATGTGTGTGTGTTCACCAGCAGCTATACAGTATTTTGGAAATAACTATATAACATCACAGTGGTCCTTGTGCCAGTTACTGTATATAAACTCAGCCGGGCAGAAATTGTTTGAAACCTGATGTGACTGTTGAACACAAATCATTATTTGATGAGCATTTTACCTACTTGACAGAATTATTGATGTGATTTCCTAGTCACTCGGTAGTTTATTTTGAGAGTATTGAAGACCTTGTGGTCAGCCTCCATATTAGACATATTGTGGTGTGATATGGCACAAATATTGAAGGCTTGATACTGTAATAATGATGGTGGAGGGTTCTTGGATGTGTAAAATATCTCTTAAGACAAATTGACACTGGTGGAGGGTGTTGGTTAGTGTAGTAGCCTATGGTTTGTCCTTCTGGGTCAAGTAACTCGGTACAGTATATACTGACAGGAATTGTATTGACTCAAACTAACAAAAACAGAATATGTGCAGTACAGTATTGATAACTGGACGTTGGTTTGTACTGTACTGGGCACTTATTATTATTATTATTATTCTCGACTTTATTTGAACCTGCGGGATAGTGCATGACTTTTAAGACACATTCCTCACTGGAGGGGAAATTCATCTTGGGTGTTGTGGTGTTTGTTAGTGTCAAGATTTGGTTTTATTAAAAAGCTTCACCTGCTGTTTGTTTAAAATGATTTGTTTATTTATTTTTTGTCAGTAGGATGATTAAAGAAAATACTGAGGTTTTATGGCCAGCATGGGTGCATTATGTCTTATGTGTGGGTCAAATGTAAATACAATAAACATTTGCAAGTAAGGAATGTATATGTTAGCTACACATTATTGCATGATTGGAATATGTTATAGTATTTTTTATTGAACATCTCATAGGATTTTATTTTAATGTCCAGTATTGTAGTAAGCTGTGTGATTATTTGCGTGTTGGTATTGTAATAACTGCACGGGATATTTTTCTTTAGCGTTCTGCTGTACAGTTTCTCATTATTTGAGTTTAGTGTTAAAGAGGGACCTGTGAATACACATATGAAGGTCTTTTTTAATGGGGCAACATCCATGAACCTAATTCTAAGTAATCCTCCTGAACATTTCTTCCTTTTCATTCTCTTTGTTTATTTATTTTAGAATTTTTCAAATCATAAGCTTTCAAAAACTGAAGGGTATTTATATTTATAGTATAGTATATAATTTAGCTATATCTGGGAGAGGCTTATATGGATGAAAAAAGTGTATAGCTCTTAGTCCACAGTGATATCTTGACTCATGTGTGCAGAAAATTGATTTCGTCAGATTGTACTGGAGCCCGGCAAGTTGTTTAGTCTTTTGTGCTGTGGGCAGCAGCAGAGGTGGAGTGTGTGTGTGTGTGTGTTCTTGGCTTAGATTCTTGCAACACAGTTTTAGATATTTTACTATTTTTGTTTTTACTTAAACAGCTTTTGATAAATCAGATTGTTAATTTTGTGATGTCTTCCAGATTTTTTAAATTTTTTTATAGGACTTGCAATACGCTCTTGTCACATTCGCTGTATCTCTCACTGGCTTTGGTTTTCTTCGATGTGTTTGGCTTTGATAAGTTAACAAGTTGTTCCCCACATTTTGTCACCTTCATTCATCAGTAGGTTGTCATTCACCAAAAAACTCACCTGACACTGCTCACTCAAGTACTGTACTTTGCCACTCTTTGGTGTCTCATGCCCTTGATGTCTAAGTGAAAAAGTATACATTCTGTCTTCCATTGCACTATGTCAGGAAGAAATAGATGACCAGTAGTTGGGAGTAGATACAGTAGTTTGCAAACATCACAGTCCTTATGTTCAAACATTATTCATGATGTTATACTGGATATTGATTCACGCTCACTTTACACAGTTCATTGTCAACAAAGGTCATTTATTCCTTTAGTGTGTGTGTGTGTTTTTTGACATGTTAGAAAAAGTTACCTTCCCTTCCACACTGCATTGCCAACCTCAAATGAAGGACCTTAAGTAGGCACATATAGGGTAGTGAAAACGCTTATTAAATATAAAATTGGAATAATAATAACCATGGCTTAAACCAAATGGTTTTAACCAATGGTTTAAATCAATCCTCCCTGGTTGTGTTATTTACATGTTTGGATTCTTTGGGTAGGTTTCTCCAGATTGTCTTTAGTTGCTGGCTAGATAAGGTTTCTCCCTGCTTAAGAGTTGGAACCTTTGGTTTCCTTAAATGAATATTTGTTTTGACGTGCTCAGGTGGAGCCCACAGTCAAGTGGCTTGGGTATGCTCCCACATCCCTTGGAGTTTGTGTCTTCACCTGGAACTGATAAATTTGAAATGTTTGAACTGGGAGTCGCCTGGATTCATAGGACAGGATTAAGGCCTTGACACTGATTGGTTTGAGGTTGACTTTAACGGACCTCCAGCCTTTTCTTGTCCCCTCCCACTACTGTACCTGGTGGGGAGGGGGGTAGGAGGTTGTATTTGAGGATGGTAGTGCTGGGGGGGTTGAAAGAGGGTGATCAGTTGGTTGTGTTAACAGATCAACCCAGGTGATGCCAGGAGAACAAATTTGAAGATCAATCTTCCATTTACTTGCAAAAGCTTGCAATAATATTTTAGTAATGAAATTTGTCATAAAATTTTTAAATATATGATGGATGAAGTGTGTTTGGTGTTGACGGGCAGGGGTGCAAATATACCATCTACAGTATAACAAGTTACCATCAGGGCAAGTACTATTTAAAATTTAATGAGCCTATCATATTTACCAGTCATTAAACCAGTAGAAAGTACAAATTATGGTACAGGTTTTTACCTGATACTATACATAGAAAGCTCTTTACTTAATATTCGTTGCTAATATCAATCTGTATTACATTTATTAACAAACATTGTAAAAGCATTAACCAATTATAATACTAGAATGGGTGTTCATCGAAGTAAAACTTAATTTATTACAAGATAATAACTGGTCTAAAATTCTGATTCTCAATTGAGTTTTCTAGCCAACTGGTTTCTGGACAGTCCACCATTTGTCACCTTGATAAAATTAAGTTGTACACCTAACTCATCTTGCCTAACGGTGTTGAGTCGAGTGCCATTAAACTCTGTACCATAGATATTAATTCTTTACTGCCGGGTTTATGGGTACGGATACAGTGTATTTGCATCCCTGGCTGGGTGATAATTCCTTTTCTTTTCTCTACTTTTCTTATTCTTTGCATTTGGCTTGACGGTACTGTACTGTAGTCACCATAGTGTAGTAGTAGTAGTGCAGCTTTTAGTAACCCTGATAGATGGTGTAAACATCTTGAAGGTATTGATGGTTATCTATTAATTGGTTTTGACACCGTTTTTACTTTTTAATGTACATTTATTTTTATTTCATTAAATGTTACACACTTGGGTATTTTGTCGAGTCTTTTAGGTTTAACTTAATTTGTTCACATAATTTTTTTTTATCCTAAAGATAGTTTTGTTATAATTTTTCATTTGTCACTAGTAATCCTCTACAGTTGCAGACTGGGAACATTTGAGGGATAATGTGGCAATGGGTTTAATTAGGAAGGAATAAAGTAAGAATTAGGCTGAGGTGTATTGTACTGTTTTATATTTTATACAATTTTCTCATATGAAATTTATTTACTGTGGTGTTTGTACCCAACAGGTGAGCTCAACCATTCACGTAGACCCCCGGCGTGTCCATCAGGTGCTCCCTGTAGTTGCTGCATCCAGTCCAGTTGTGACGCAAGATCCCAGAAGGATTAATGAAACGACTCGGGATCCTAGGTTAACGGTTGAAAATAATCGTGATCCAAGAATTACACCCGAGAGTTCCAGAGACCCCAGACTCAATTCTGAAAGTTCTCGGGACCCAAGACTAAATTCAACTCTCTCTACAAACAGTACAAAGGCTGCCAAGCCAAGTGAGGCGCAGGTGACATCTTCGCGTGATCCTCGGGTGGCTGTAAAAGAGGTGAAAGATAAAGATAAAGATAAAGTGAAAGAGAGAGAGCAGCGGAAAAGTAAGAAAGAAACCCCAGTAAAACCCAAAAAAGAGAAGGAAGTAAAGCCTTCAAAGTCAGAGGCGCGGTCTACAAGGTCTCTCCATCGGGCAAAAGAAAAGGAGAAAAAGGAGAAGGAATCTCCTGTGTCATCTTCGTCGCTCAAGTCAAACATAACACACACAAAGAAGTCTCTGGAGGCTCCGGCACCCGTCGTCGTTAATAATTCGACTACGTCATTCAAAAGCAACAGGAGGAACAAGCAGCGCACCTACAAGCAACGCACCGAGTCCCCTGTGGAGGAGCCCAACTCACCGCCCAGGAAGAAGCGTTCATACGACGAGATTCTTTCTGACTCGGATGATAGTGACCATTACCAGGCTAATAGACCTAACCCTGCATTGTACAATAAATCTGGTGAGTATAGGGGTAGGTTGGAGTGGGAAGGAGAGAGTGAGAATGCCCTCGCCAGACTCTCCCTGATCAGTCAAGATTCTTCACTTTCTGTAAGACTCGCCCCCCAGGACAAGGAGTCCTTTATTTTGCTCTGGGAGCCTTTCTTTTATGTAAATTGTGGATTTATGGATTTTTGTAATATCTTTTTTACAACATTTTACTTGTCATTATTGCTAGCAAGGTTGAAGAAGTATGGTTCTATATATGCAGAAGTGTTAAAAAGGTTAAATGTTTTATATTATAAATCATATTTATCTGTAAAAATAGCTTACTGAAATAAATCCCATCCCTTATAGATTCGTTTTATAAACAGGGTTACTGGCTCTTTTTTGGTGAATACAATTTATTAACTTTTATAACATTTCAGATTAGATAGACATTTATTGTTGAAAGTGAGCGAAACACTTTGTTATAGATATGTGCCGTGATGAAGCATATTACAGGTGTTACACAGATGCTGGCAAGAACTGATCTCTTACTAAATGCTGCATAACGAATCATACAAGAAAATATATTGAAGCATTTACAGAATGACTTGCATTTTGTGTGTTTTACAAATAATGGCGGTCAATAATCTTCCGAAGAGGACCCACTGGTTTATTACACCATTGTCTTTAACACAAAACTTCTGTTCCTTGCGCACGGGGAAGGGAGAGTGGGGTGGTGTGTCATCTTAACATCCGTCACATTTCAAAGTTTGGGGTCATGCACAATGAAACTAGTACAGGTGATGGTTATATGGAGTCGAATACTTTTAAAGATTTTTCAAGTTGCATATTATGAGAGGACAGTACCGTAGTTTATCTACAAGTTACTGGTAATGTGTTATATATACGGTTGATTTGTCTTGAATCGAGTGTAATGATAGTAAAATTCCTCGGCGAGAATTATGAAGAGGTTAGTTAAAGGAAGAGGATAGTTTCGCATTTTGTAGCTACACGAGTTGTGAAGGAAGTGTAATGTACTCCTGTTTTGGGTTTTTAGAAAGCTTTAAGTATAATGAACAGAAATGGACTCAGTTTGGACTGAAATTGTGCATGGAGAACACCGTGCCATTGTGTGTGATAGTTGAACTAGTTGTTGTGTGTGAAGGACAAAGTTGTATAATGGCACTGGTTATTTGATGATGTAGTGGTCAAGCTGTCATATACAGAGGATTGTTGTTTGAAGAGTGAAACAGGTGATAGATTTTAGCATAGTTCTGTATGTAAGAGAAGAATGTTGAGGATTGATACCAGTAAACAAATTGATTTTCATAAAGGTAGCCATTTGTGTTAGGATGATAGTGGGAAGGTAAATGGAATTTGTTCTGGTTCCCTTTTGATAGTTTTGATGGCTGTAAAATCAAAATTTATTAAGTAATGCAAAAGAATAGTAAGCTTACACAAAGAAATTACTTAGACTGCTCCATCTTTTCTGTATGGATATGAAAAACTTGTATTTGTATATACAGGCTGAAGAAATATATAGCAAGTGTTGCAGCCAACTTCTTTAATATATTGAATAGTTTCCTAGCTAAATGGCATAGAATAGGTGCATGGAGATTAAGGAGCTGCAGTATGAATAAATAAGACTTGGAAGAAAAAAATGAGAGGGTGAAGGAGAGGCAAGAATGTATAATGCATGCATTTGTTTAAAACCCTACTGTATCATTAAAGGTTAATGGGGAGAGATGGACTTTGTAGAACACCATAAATAAATCGGGTGTAACAGTCCAGGAATATTTATAGGACTGTAACTTAAGGAACGATGATGATTAAATGCACAGACAAGTTTGAGAGGAAGACAGAATGAAGACTGTCTCACAAGATAACTACAGAACAAAGGAGATGTTACATGTTCAAGTTGATCTGGTGATTTTTGTCATTTCCTATTGAAAATGTGCCTAGATCCCCCATCCCACTGTTTCTGTGGAAGGGAATGCAGCAGAACATTTATAAAAAATTGGAAACAAGAATTATATGGAGAAAAAAATCTTGGACTCTTACCCATGATCAATATTCTGAAAATTATCCATTACTCATAATCACCGTTATAGTTTCAGTAGCCACCACTCCTCCATATGACAAAGTTACTAGCCACACTTCAGCCAAGTGGTGCACTACCCTTGACAAATTTCATGTTATAGGCCAACTTGTTATTGTTTGTTTTGGTGGCCGTGAGAGTGCAGTAGTGCAGTGAGAGTGGTTGAAGACCAATACAGCATTTACTGAGAGGAGTGAGAGAGTTGGAGCCAAGAAGATGCATGCTAGAAAATAAAGTGATGTTGCAAAATATCAAGGAATGTGTTAAGTATCCAGTATGACTGACTAAAGTAAATAATACACTACCTGTGTATTTTGCTAATTATTCGAGGGTAAATGCAGGTGTCATACTCATTTCACTGGAAATATCGGTTATCTGAAACATCCTTGATGCCAGCCATTCTGGATAGTACCAGTTTCTGTGGTGGGCTTTTGTGTGTTTGTGTTCAACATGTGAACTCAACTCAAACAGCAAGAGTTTTTAGCCAGGCTGAGTATGCGTACCAACAAGATCTGAAAATGAGCTCAGTAATACAGTACCTGTATTCCTCGACTATCTAAATATTGCATGCCAGGCTGTGTGGGGTACTGTTGACACAGACAAAGAAAGAAACTTAGATCTTGGACCTGCTTCATGCATAATTACTCAAAGGCTTAAATCTTGTCTAGAAGTAAATTGCACTCCCACACATGCCACAGTAATCACACACCACATTACTCTCACACACACCACATCACACACACACACACACACCATAGTTCACACACAATACAGTACATATATGCACATATACAGTACATACATATACCCAGCACAATACAGTACACATATACACCATACATACATACCCAGCACAGTACACACACTTTTTTCTCCACATTTTTACCAGAAAATACAACCAGCCTTTGTATTAAACTAGGAAAAATGCTTCAAAGTTTTAAATTCCTCTAGTGGTTTATCTGAATGTGTCCAGTTGAGTCACGATGCCTTAAAAGTACCTAAGGAAATGGTTCTGTCATTAACAGTTATGTAATAAAGTAACTTGTTCCCAAGATATGAAATGGTCAGCAAATTGATGATATTTGTAGGTATTTTGTTAGTACAGTATTACATTACATGGTAAATACCTTCTGCTGTGTCTTATATGGTTCTGGTACTTTTACTTTTACTGTACTTTCAGAGTTGAAATATGAGTACGAAGGACATTTTTATTTTGGTTGGAAGTTTATTTTATATACAAAAAGGTCTTGATATGATTGTAATTGTAACCTTTTCCATTATTTATTTTATTTTATTTATTTTTTAACCGCTGAAGGGTAGGCATGAACATTTGAGTATTTTACGATGGTTAAAGATTAAGATAAATGAAGAAATTCTCCCATAATTATTTTTCTCCCAATAATTTTATCAGAAGCAAGTTTAAGGTAATACATTGTACGGTCAACTACTAAAGTCCGTTAGCCTCTTCCCCTGAACCACGAACCCAGAGATTCAGTCTAGTGAGCCTGAAACAGTACAGTAGACTGATACATCGGTGCTCCTTGTGGTGGAGGGGGAGACACGAATGGAGCCGTCTTGTTTGCACTTGGTAATTGTATGGGGGAGTTGTGTTGTGTCTGTGTTTTCCACATATTTACACTATTTTGCAAAATCCTACCTTGTAGCATCATTATTTATAATTTATTATTATGGAGAGTAATTTGTAGAATTTCATCGCTAATTAAGTTGTACATTTATATACCTGTATCAATACATGGTATGAGTGCATATATTTTCTCCTTTTCACTCAACTTCATTTAATTGTTCTTATTGTTGCACCGGAGGTGATTTGAAGTGGAATCTAAATCCACAACAAGGCTCCCCAAATAATTACCCGACACTGTTCTTGCCGCTCATTCGTGCACCCCGCTGCTTCTTGGATGTCCACTCACTCTAGCGAGCCCTTCATCCCATCCATCTATCCATCTACTTTTATTTATTTCCTCTCCATACTACCATCCACTTTCAGTCACTCACTTTACATTTTTCCATTCTGCCCTTACATGTTCTCAGGCCAGAATACTTTCATATGAACATTTGTTTTCTATAATTAATTTTCTAGCATTGCTTTTACTTCACATAGTACAGTACTGCCAAACAAATTATATGTCTTCTAATTTGCTTCTTTGACCTGTGTTCAGTGGTCATAGTTCACACCCATAGTTGGTTAATTGATTCCCCAGCACAGTACACACCCAATTAAGACTGGTGATGCAGTTCTCTCTCCATACATTAACCAATCCATCCATTATTGTCTTGATTAAAGTTACTCTGGTTCAGTTCATATCTCATTATGGAGTTAATTATTTCAAGTAGCTGGTTTAGTTATTGGAGAATTAAGTTTATCTTCTTCTTTCCATTATTTTTGAGCATTAGTGAATGTCTTTGGTAGAGTACAGTATAGTATGCAGTATACTTTTGGGTGAGATCGATCTGAAGAATCAGGAAATGTTGTAGCGAAGAAGAACAATGAAAGAAAATAAACAAACATATTTTTATTTGTGAAAACCAGCATTTCATACAGTATTTTAAGTATTAAATGATGTGTTGTTGTTTTTCCGACAGGGATGTTGGTCACAGAAATAAATTCTGCTCTACTAACTTGGGAATGTTTAGTTATTTCCATGTTTGTCTGTCTGCCTGTGCTGTAATGCATGTACAGTGCCTATATTCTTGAAGGAGGAATTCAAGTGAAACTTAACATATGTTTATCTTATGGTGTGTCCTATACTAAACTCAACGAATTTGGCTTGTTTTGGCATGAGGCTACGCTGTCACCACTGATTATGTAATCATTGCTGCAAGTATCTCCTTGCTCTGTGTAACTAAAGTTAAAGTTTTGGTTCAAGCTCCTTGCTTGGTGATTGCTTCAAGCCATTGAGGCTTGACAAGCATTGGGTCACAATCCTTAGAAGGGTTCACCCCACATCCCAACCACAGGCAGCCATAAATATGGGTTCTTTATTTTGAATTTCCATCATTAATGTACCTCCTGTCAGCCAAACTGTGGTCATGGATATGGTTGATAACATTATCTGAATTTAACTATTCTGTTATAGATGATATTCTCTCTCTAGCTTCAGGTTACCTTCTGTGGTCATTGAGGTCAGTTTCAAGTTGGTAATTACATTATTTTGGTTCATTATTTCTCATGCCTTGTGGTGTCATAGAGTTGAACTGAAAGTTAGTTAATGTTAAATTTTTAACTA